GTTGAAACCAACGTTACCTATTTATTATTATTACGACAGATGCGCGCGCCCTCTTCTTGCACCAGACAACAATTGAAATTATTTTACACTTATGGGCGGCCCAAATAGGGTAAACAATTTGGTAAAATTAATTAATTTCAAATTAAAATTAAAAAAGACTTAAATTCAAAAAGTGGTAGCAGTCGTTGGATACCTACATTGTTACTGCACATTGAATACAAATATATATTTATGCTATGCGTGGTTCTTAAAGTTCTCACAGCAGCCCTAGTACAAAACAACCATTCTTCAATACCAAACTATTACCAGATGTTCTGGTTATACATGTACAGTACTAGCTAAGTGCTTGTAAAAATTCCAGAATTTTATTAGTTCAAGCCCTAAAAAATGTATAGGCTCTCAAAAAGTTACATACAGTGTAAAAATATGACAAAAAATTAAAAAAATATTTTCATTGTATCTGCCGTATCGATTTGTGGTTACCTACGCGTCACGGTTTTTAATCCGATCCCAGTTGCTAGTCGTGTACACCACCGCCGTCGGTTTCGATACATTTAACAAATACTCAATTTACTGCCAACAGTTATTTATTTAAAATCGTAACAAACTCGAGGGAAATATATGTTTATACGTGAACTTGCAGTTTCTAACAAAAAAAAAACTAACTGCCACCACACTGTTTAATGATGAACCTAAATTATCCGTCTGAATTAATTAATTTTTCTTTTTTACTACTCCGGACACACACCTCGATGAAACTCCTTGTAATTTCAACACCGCGTTCTTTCAGCTCTAAACATTATTAGAATAATTTTGCTCGTTCAGCCATATTTTAATTAAAAAAAAAAAAAAAAAAACATAGTCTCAGGAGATGCACTTTATGTTGAAAAAAAGAATGAAAAAAAAAAATCTTACGTTGTATTATTAATAATCTAACAAAAAACAAAATTTGACAATTATTATTTAAACACGTCAACTTGAAAAAAAGTTACAATTGTTTTGTAAAATAAATGCTGCGCTTAACATTACACGTACACTTTACAATAATTGTAAACCGTATTACTATAATAATAATAATATTAACTTGAATACACTATATTAGTTAATTAAAAAAAAAAAAAAACCAATAATGTGCTTGGACGCATATAAAATGTAATTTAAGCGAAATGTCTAATATTAATGACTAGATTCGTTAGTTGTTTCCACGACTTTACAGTTTTGTAAAGGGAAAAAAGATCTCAAAATGTATAATAAAAAAAAAAAACACACACATATTATTGTATCTTTTGCGCGGCTACGTAGTAAAGGATACACGACATAAATAATACATCGTTGTGGTTGCGCAAAAAAAAAAAAAATAGTAAATACGGACGGGGCAAACTTGAAAAATATTAAGAAAAAAAAAAATGTTAGTCTAGTTTTCGATAAAATTTGTTTCGACAAGTGAGAGAGAGAGACTATGAAGTTTTCTTTTTTTTATCGGATTTTGTTTTTTCGGCCCCTTCGTTCTTTTTCTTGTCCAGCGTTTTCTTACAATCCGCGTACACGTTGTTCATATCGAAAACGGCTTTGAAATTGGACTGGAAAAAAAAATCGTCGTCGTTATTATTATCGTTTAACTATGACTGTACATATTATATATACTGTGTGTATGGTAGGTACAGGATATTGTTTTTTTTTTTTTTTTAACACTCTCTTACCTCGGTGAAAAAGAACTTGTACACTTTGCCTTTGGCGTCGAACACCGGTCGTCGCACCGACTCCAAGCCGTTCTTGAACAGCACCACGGTGGGCAATTGACGGCTGAACGACGTGTCGTTTATGTTGAACTTTTGTGCGGCGTCCGGGTACCGGCTAACGTCGATTTTGCCGAATTTCAAATACTTTGTGTCGTACCTTGAGCAACAGAAAAATACACAATACACTGTTATATTGCAATATGTACAATATCATATTATATTATACACTGTTGTATTGTCATATTATGTACAATATATGATAATATTATACACTGTTATATTATGGAGAATATAGTATTCACACCGACGACACCGGTGTCGGGTAGTCAACATCGACAGTGCCAAATCACCACGGTATCACACGTGTGTGCATACTCACTCGACGGACAATTGCGAAAATATCGGCGCGAAATTCGCGCACGACGGATTCCACGTCGTGTAGAAGCAAACGATCCACACGGTGTACTTGTCGTCCCTGAGCGTTTCCTCCAGGCTGGCCAGCGACCGGAAGTACACGACGTTTTCGGGGCCCGAATACGTGGGCGCGGGCAGCACGAAAGTTATGACTGAAAAAACAAAAAACAAAATTAATACAATCATTTTACACATAAATCTATACATGTAAATAGTGTTACAGTGTAATCATAATCAAATATAATTAAAAAAAAAAAACAATAATGTGTTTTAATCAAATACACCGATATATTCTATTCTATCAGTACACGTACTGATGACCAAAGCGGAGTAAATCAATCCGTATCGGGCGTCCGCGAAAAACCACAACAACAAGTTGGCCGTCTTGGTGTATATGAAGCTGGACGACAAATAATCGACCATCGTCACGCTGCCGGCCTTCCTCGTGCGTATCATGATGACGATCATTACGAACAGCAAAATTTCCAATTCTTTCTGGAAAAACATAAATAGTAAAAATAAAAACCAATGACGTGTATTTGTAAGAAGTAATCGAAACAAAAGTACACAAGTAGGTACAGTCGGGGGGGACATTGGACAGATAAAATAATTTTACTATATTGTACACCCGAAGAATAAATCTACTATAAAAAGTGTATTCGGTATTATTGGAATAATTTTATTTAGTTGTGCAATTTTAATGGGGGGAGGGGGAGAGGGATGGAAATATCTCTTTCGAGAAATGATTTAATCCTCCGACCACAAAGGGTTGTTGGTACAAAACTAAAGTGAGTTTCCAAAAATACTCATTTTATTTTATTCAGCCTAATGTTTTGTTGAGTGATTGTGAAAAAAAAAAATAAATAACCGTCGCTTCACAAAGTATACTTTCAACTTACTTTGTCGTAGCCTATAGCAAAATACGAATTAATTTCAAGTGTATATTCGTTTATACGCTGATTGTTAAAGCGTGCGATTTTCAATGTAAATACGGCCGATTTTGTTTGTGCGTAAACTGCGTTCGAGACACAAACGGTTTATACGCAGCCGCGTTCCTACGCTGGATGAATTGTGTACACAATAAAGAACTGTGTATATAATAACTAAATGTGTATAATATTACAATTGAAAACGGTCCGAGTGAGATGTTTGATAAACAATAAACGCAGACAACAAATTTTCCAGAAAATTCATGGCTCTTCACACTTCAGTAGATCTACATTCGGTCCCAATTTTTCCTACCGTTAGTCCTGAATCTTTTTTAATTGGAAAAAGAGAAATACAAAAAAAAAAACCATTCGAGGGGGGCAAGGCAAAAGGGTTTATTGTATTCTTTGGTTCGTCACCAACGATACACGGGGTGTCGTTAATCTCAAGAATATGCCAAGTAATAAAAAGCGCCGTAATATTAAGTGGCAAAATGTGTACATATTTTTTTGGCACATATTTTTCCGACAAAGGGGAAGCGATGAACTTTTAACATTTTTGACCCGATAACCTCCTGACCAACCTATCGTGTACGCCTATTGGTCTATTACACAGAGCTGTTGCTAATCGATTCGGCAGTTTACAGTGTAATATAATATCGTGGGTTCAGACACAAGTAAGATAAACCAGTTTAGATAAGTGTAAAAACAAAATGACATTGTAAAAAAAAAAACTTCTAAACTGTCTATCGGGTTACAAAATATCGGGTACATGACTTCATCACTCACCGTGTCCAGTTCGCACGAGGTGTCTGTCGGCTCGAACAGGTGACGGCACACGTAATCGTTTTTCTTGCAGAAAACAAACGAACACGTCAACATGACGTTCACCCAATAATAGGGTTTCAACAAGACCAAAAGGTCTTTTTTCGGTACAATCATATTACCGGCGGCGGCGGCGGCGACTATCGAATTGTAGTAATATTACAATATATACACACACTTTGCGATAAATTACTATGTTAAATAATAATAATAATAATATTAAATTAAACGATATCGTGCCAATCGTGCTGGTTTTTTCGGGTCGAGTAATTTCGGAAATAAACATAAACATCATTATAATAATTGTAATTTGGCTTGTTTATCAAAATGTAGGTAGCTGTTGTGACAGATTCGATGAAATGATAACAACCGAGTTCTTATCGACAACGGTTTCTTATCATCTGCTGTTATCAGCTTAATATACAAAAAATTTATGTCGAAATTTATTAAAAACGAAACGTGTAATATATTTTAATGTATACCTAGCTGTTGATTAATGGAATGCTTTAAGGGGCGCATCCCGTTGTTCAGCAAAATTAAAAACAAATAACATATTGGGATTACTCATAGATAATCATTCATTTACTATCTATGGGATTACTACTTATTGACTTTGACGACGACCCGGGACGGCAGTGCGCGCCGCGGAGGTACCTCCAGACCGAGCAGTCGTGCCAACCGTATCAAAAATAATTATCGTTGCCGTGTATCGATCGTGGCGCGCGGCACAGGCGGAGGGGGGGGGGTGGTCGTGGACCAATAACCGACGCCGACGCGGTCGCCGGGTCGACGGGCAACAGGTACGCCGGGGCGTCGCGGTGGCGTCGAAAACAAAAAAAATGGCCGCCGGCCGCGTCGGTCGTTACGGGACACCGCTGCGTCGGCCATTCCGGCGGCGGCGGCGTAACACCCCAGACAACGCGCGAGCATACCTTGCGCGCGTTTTTCCCTCCACGGCCTAACCGCGGGAGCCGCCGGCCGCCGCAAACAACAACAAACAACAGCGACTAATACTGACAACACACACGGCTGAATTCCCAACGCCTGCACAATCAGGCGCGCGTTCGGTACGCTCATCGCGTTATTGTTTTTTTTTTTTTTTTTTATTAAAATATTTTTTCCCCCCAAAGTCCTCCTCGTACCTAAGCGGTTAATTAAATATCTAATTTGTTCTAAGAAAATAATAATCGCTATAGTGTTTTCTTTTTCGCGCGTGTGTGTCCCCTGTGAGTTCCGAATATTCCTCCTACCGACCTGTTCTGTTAACGCGGCTGCCGACCGCCGCCATAGCGCGCCCCCGAAGCCCCGTGTTATGCACTGAACGCCAGCCGACCGCGCCACAATGGCCGCCGCCGCAGTGGAAATCAAACCGAATTTCGTCAAAGGCGTCGCCTGGTGAGTGGTGTTTGTTTGTTGTATTAACAATATTGTAGGTATTATAATAGCATCCACGCCCGAGTGTACGTACACTGTGTAAAGCTGTATTGAAATTGACCGATATTGTCCAATCGGAGTGTTGTCGCGGTAAAATCAATAGGTATCAATAGTCGTTGTGTGTGTGTGTAAAGGCTGCACCTAAAGGCCGTTTTGCCCGTTTCAAAGGCTCTTGGAACGCGCACGGTCTCGGATAAATGTGGCCGCATTCGAACGGCCAAGCTTTGGTCGCACCGGCGTTATCGTAATCGTTCCACCGTGCCGCGGCGCACAGCTGTGTTGTAATTTCACACCATCCGTGCCCTTGTTAACTTTTGTCCGCTCGCCCCCGCTTAAAGGCACAACGCTGCTCGCTACGACAGACTTTTGGCCTTACCCACGATAAAACCGTTGGTGTCTTTATAAACGATTTCATCATGGTACATATTATATCAGGTACTCATAAGCTCTTCATTATATAGTACTTACACTATAATATTATTTTTTAAGAAAAAAATTTCCCCCCTATTAGCTTCCAATAAAGTCGGGCGTACGTGCAAATTGGCCGTCGTTACTGACACAACCGAGTTTGTGGCCGCACTGAACTGCCGGAGTGCACTGATTGCATCAACCTCGCCATTCCCTCGGCGTTCTGTAGAAGAATGTTTGCGTAAAAATGTTTAAAAAGACTGCCAATCGTCCATGCTAGCGAGCGGCTGAAGGTCAATAGATTAGCTGTAATTAAGTAGTTTTACTTTGTGGAAATATTCGAGTTTTTTCTTTCCCCGTTTGTGGCCTTAGTGAAGAAACAATCCGATTCGAGGTGACAAATGCGGTGGATAATATCTCTGTTTGGATCGATTCTGGTAGTTTTTCGAAAATAAAATGTTTGCTGTACGTTTTTTGCCAGGGTTTGTTTGTTGCCTACGATGTTTCCATTGGAAAGTTGACCACAATAGGTAACGACCAATTATCTATGAAGTGTTATATCCGTGCAATAAAATTGCATGTGTGTACAGTAGAGGCATTTTTGCTTAGGAGGACACAGTATAGTATCGGCTATAATTTTGAACACACAATTTTGCTGTGTCCAGTGGCGGATCTAGGGTTTTTTTTCAAGGGGGGAGAGGGCGCCAAAATTGGGATCTCAGGCCTGTGTTTTAAAAAGTATTTTTTAAAAAAATAACTAGCACAACAAATCTGAAATATTCTGAAAAAAATTATATTGATTTAGAAATAACTATTATAATGGCTACAGTTTAAATACTACATTACTCAATGAGACATTTCAGTAGAGTTTTCATGTTCTGATGCTATGGAAATTGTGAGTTAATTGTTTTTTAATGGTTCAACTTTTACCTGCTCGACAAATTTCACAAGTGTTAATGTAGTTTTATATAGAACAATTTGTTTTTTTTATTTAAGAATAATGTAAAATTTAAAATTAAAAAAATGTATTCACTTAAAAACTTTCTTCAGTCAGTTTTTCACTATCATTAGGTAGGTAGTATATCTTCGTTTTTTTTTTAAGTAAAAAAAAATATATAAGATTGTTTTATTTCATTTGTTCCATTGTAACGAAATACTGTATTTTGTTTACAAATGCTTAGGTATGGATGTATATTTTTATTTCAGTCATAATATATTTTGCGAGTTATTGTTGAATGTGAACAAAAAAAAAAAGCCAACACTCCAAAAACCTTTGAGGTGCTTTTTTGAGTTTTTTTAAATGACGATTTTTTAATGGGTCTTACTGATGGTTTATCAAATTGTTAACAATCGATTAATTTCAATCCAAAGAAAAATACTTTGAGATTTTTTTTGAGTAATGTTGGGGATTCCTTTGATTTCAAAAAATTACCTATTTTCAAAACGCTTGGCCGCCGCCGCATTCCTCTGTCGTAATAAGAGAAATAAAATACATTTTTGTTACAACCAAGTATTTTGGAAAATAATTTTTTCCGATTAGGAAATTTTAGAATAGAGGTTTTGTATCTGGCAATTATTATGTAGGCAATATTTTTTTAAAAAAATGAAGTGGATTTAATGCATTTCAATTTGTTTTCAGGTTAAATATTTTATGTATAAGATTCAGTATGAATAATTTTTAACTTTTACAATTTCTCGTTATACGAATAAAAGCTATAATTTGCCCAGGCAAAATGTCTTGCAACAAAAAAACCTTGGTATAAATTCCCGATATCAAGAAACTTTATTTTTTTTTTTTATAATTATTATTTATAATTTAGTGTTCTATAAAAAAAATTAACTCCGTTGTTTTGAAAAGTCACGGCTACTGCTGAAGTTTGGCGATGAATATTATCATATGTAGTTTGCTAATAACGAATAAAAAATAAGAAAAACTGACCATAAATAAATTGATAATTATTGTTTATTTCCGAAATTCCGTAAACATCCGTAAACGCATTAAAAGAGGAGGAGGATGTTTCTCAGGCCTAGAACTGTTGGTGTTTTTTTTGTTTTTCACAAAAGTCGTGACTATTTTTTTTTTCATTACTCCTAGAACAATTTAGTAAACCTTTTTAGTGATTGTAGTTTGTCGCCATATAATTTATCCGAAAAAAGAACCCGTAATAGGTGGTAAACTCAATTAAATTATACTATACTAAATTATACTATTATACTTACAAAATGTTTTGACGAGCAAAGACTACTTATACGTCTTTGTGGTCAATACACATATATTGTGTTTTCAAATGTCCAATCGTAGGTAATAAAGATTTGTTTCGAATACATTGTTTTTGCTAATCAATTTTTATAATAATAAACAAAAAATTATGTTACGACATGTTTTGGACGTACTTTGATTTACATCCTTCGATTTCTATAATTGATTGAATGAAAAAACGATCGTAACAAATCCAATGCTCAAAGAGTTTGCAAAAAAAAAATATATATATATATAACAATGTTACCTTTGAACAATGCTCATTAAATTTAATTGAATTGAATTTAATCATCAAACTCCACGTTTATCCGCACACATTTTACCTTTTTTGTATTTCTTATAATATTGTAAAGCTCTGTGGACTTGACGTAAATAAGTTCATAAATCGTCCGATCGACGACAACAACGGCGTAGGTAAATCGGTGCGGTCAAACGTTATTTTTTATATTTTGCTCACTTTGGTCGTCCCCCCAGGCGTACGCGATTCACTTAAAACTCTACTCAAAATGTTACCAAAAAGTTTAGTACGCGTTATTTTTACATTTTTTAAATACATTTAAAAACATATAAGTAGTACACAGGACCAGGTTTAACGTTTCGAGAAATATGTTATAGAATTTACCGAAAAATACTAAAATAGATTTAATTATTTGATACTTGGTAATATTAGTGTATTGTACGTGCTCGGCGGTTGGACTACTATAATATATTATATAGGTAGACAATGTTTATTTAAATAACTAGCATAATATACAAAATAATGCCGTTATAAATATGTTGTTAATTTTTTCTTTCTTTCCCCGCATTTACAGTTTCATCAGCGATTTATCGTACCGCGAGGCAGTGGAAAATTCCGTAAATTACAACACGAGACTATGCATCGAACGTCGCATGAGGATGCCGTTTTTAGACACGCAAACGGGTATGTAATAATCCACATTTAATATGTAAATTTTTTATGTATACACACACATGATGTACACATTGATAAATGATAAACAATTCGAAAATCGATTACCACCGCCGTTAATCGTGTGTTTGTTGTTTTCGAATTTCAGGCGTCGCACAAACGCACTCGAGCCTTTTGATGCACGAGCGGCAACGGATGCCCGGCATCGGCACCGGACAGATTTACACGTACCCGTCGAAACGTTGGCGGAAAAAACGTAGACAATACCTGCTGAATTCGTGCAACAGCGGCTCTGTCAATGCGTCCGTGTTCAACAACTCGTCGGGAAAGCGCAAAGAATCCGGTACGAACAGCGGCCAACAATAATTGTTATGTACACACACGCGAGTGTGTATTTTTTTTTTAAGTAACTACATTCTATATTAAATGTGTGTGTGTGTTTGTGTATTTTTTCAATTCAGGTCTCAACAGCGGCGGCGATTCGGGCGACGCCAGCTCGTTCAACATAGATTTGCACACGGGCGACAGCCAAAACGCGATATCCAACAACGAGGACAGCAAAGACAGTCTGGCGACCAGCACGATTGTGCCCAAAGACGAACAGTCGAGTCAAAACAGTTCCAGCAATCCCAAAGTGTCGGTGAGTGTGTGTGTGTGTGTGTGTGTGTTGGGATGTGAAGAGGGTTAATAAATGTTTTTGTCCCGAGAAAATTCAGTCGATACTGAATTATTATTGTTTATCGTCGATGATCGTGTGTATGTGGTGATGATTGATGATTCAATGGTGATTGATGTTGTTTCAGGATCAGTGGTACTACGACGAATTCGAAATGCAAGAAATGGAAGGGTTCGAAGAGCCCGACGCCGATTCGGATTACGATTACGAGGAGAGCTATACGAAACGGAAAAAGCGAAAGGGCGGCAAGCCGGGACGCAACAGCGCCAACAACGAGGGAACGTCCAGTCGTCGCAGCGTCAAGGTCGGTGTTTTGCAACAACAGGAACTGTGCAATCGGCGGCGGCGGCGGTGCACGTAAGAGGGTGTACGCAAAAGTGTGTTGTACCAACAGCGCGTACTAACCTCTAACCGGTTTTTGTAAACGTTGGCTGTAGATAATTTTTGTTCATAGTTAATAATTAATGTCCTTTATAAAAAATAGTGTATGTATTTATTTTTTTATTAAAAACGCTCAACACCGGTTAGGTACATTTTTTACAAACACGTTGCCGCCGATTGTAATTGCATGTAGAATAATATATTATTGTCGTTGTGACAAATTAAACAATATTGTTGTTTTTTTTCTCCCCCATATAGGGTTCGACGTCCGGAAGAGGCAGAAAGAAAGGCATGAGCAGCAGCGCATTCATGGACATGCAGGACCCGGACAAACCGTACTCGTGTGACCGTAAGTAAATTGTTGTTGTTGTTTTGCACACTTGTTTTTGACACTTTTTATCCGTAAATATATTTCGCTACTTAATATATTATATGTTTTCTCGAGTAAAAATTTTAGTGAAATTTTTCTATTTGTTTTTTTACACTTAATGTATTTGCACACAATTTGTCTGATTGCATCAAATATTACTACCGCCTTACCACCGTTGATCGATCGATCCATCGATTGACACGCGTTTGGATTGTGCGTGTACTACTTTTATCTCGATCACTGCATGTCGTGTGTGTGTGTGTGTTACAAAAATTAAACACCACAATAATAGGTAGTATTATTAGTAAAAAAAAATTTTTAAAAAAAGATTAAATTTGCATACGAGATAGGCGTAGGTAGGCGTGATTACGATTTAGAGATTTTATTAAATGACAATTATAATTATTAGTGTCTCTTGTATTAGTGTGATTGATAGTTTTTTTTTTTTTTTGTGCGAAAAGAAATATATATATATATATATATATATATATATACATTTATAATAATATTTTTGCCACCGCGTTAGTCAGTCCAAGTACAAAGTACAAACGGCAGAGCGCAGTCGGTGAACTATAAAATATAATAATATAGCTAAAATTATTATTATTTTTTTTTGGCCAAACCGCGTGATGGGATTTTTTTTTTTTAGCTTCGATGCGGAGCTGTGAAGGTATTCTTTTTACAATGATGTGTTTTCATTTTTGTGTCTGGACCCAATTATCCCCACGATATCTCGTAAACCGCCGAACCGATTTCTTCGTGTAGCAACTCTATAGATCAGAAATCATACCTGGAAGGTACTTTATTAGGGCATAAAATTAAAAAAAAAGTCACCCCTTCCCCGCCGAAATCGTGAAAAACGCTTAAAAAAATTTACAAATTTTTCAACTTAAAATTACTCGATGCTCTGTGACTTTTTTAAAAATAGTCGAAAATGTACCAAATTTATTTGTAATTATTCTTCAAAAACATAATACTGTCGATAAACATTAACAAATCAAAAAAAATATCATAAACCCTTTAGAAGGGATAGAATTGTTTTCTTTATTTCACTTTTTCAAGCAAACTTTTAGAGATTTAGATGTGAAAATTAGACCGAAGGTAGATCTAAAATGAACCTATAACATATACAATTTTCTCAAAAATCTGTAGTCAATTTGTTTTTTTTTTTATTAAGGAATAACCCCAAAAATAGGGTAAATTTTTACACTTTGGCCGTAGTCAGTTTCTTGGTTGCTATGTGTGTGTGTGTGTGAGTCAACAGTCGACGGGTAATGAAAATATTTTCATTATATTGTTAATAACGATAAATGGGTGGTCACCATGACAGTACATTTTTATGTAGACAGACGATCAACCCTTAGCGCATCCACCCTGCACAAGAGTAAATATTAAATTTTAAGTACTTGAGTATTTTATTCCCACGTTATCTTCAAAAACCGCTACAACTGGTTCGAACCCACCTCTGCACAGATTCGCATCGAAGCGTTTATTTAAAAGTGATTATATCATCTCTTTCAGTTATAATAAAATCTGTAGACCCGCGACCTCATCCGTCCCCACTTATGCGCCCCCACCTCACTGTACTGGCCTTTTTTTTTTTTTTTTTTAATGTGATGTAAATTTAAACACAATTATTACATACCTACGCGTTTTCTTTGAAAAAAAAAAATATATATATATAATCTCGACTAGTGTGTATATAATATATATATATATATATATATATATTTTTACTTTATTTTTCCTTATCGTTTTGTTACTTGTTTTAATTTTTTTTGCGATTGTTTTGCCGCGCCAGTATTTTTAGTTAGATTTTTTTTTTGTTTGCGTTTTTTTTTTGTGTTTTTTTTTTTTTTTTTTTAATTTGTTGCGTGTGTGTGTGTGTTTGTCGTGTGACGATTATAATATATTATTATATTATATGCCGGCTGTGTATGATGATGATGAGAGGGTGTTGTTAGCGTGTGTATGCTAAATGTTTTTCAGTGTGTGGAGCTCGGTACAAGACCCGTCCCGGTCTGACTTATCATTACACCCATTCGCACAAGGATAAACCCGCGGCGGCGGCGGCGGCGGCAATAGCACCGCCATAACCGCGGCCGCGGCGGCGGACGAAGAGGCCAGCCAAGAGGGAGGTCTAGGCTCGTCCACGCCCGTGTCTCCGCAAACGCAGCAGCAGTCGCACCACCATCATCCGTTCGAACAGCAACCGCAACAGACTACAACAGGTTGGAGCAAATTCCACGACAGCTATTATTATTATTATTATCACTATTACCATTATTACTATTACTGTTATGTCGACGTCACTTTTGTTTTTATACGCGATATACCACCTACCCCTGGTAATCGCACTACTAAAAAACGCTGCTTCCAGTAGTTGATCAACACACCAGCGCTTACTTTTGGCTGTGCACGCGTTCTTCTATATTGCTGCTGATGCTCTCTCTCTCCCCATATGTCTCTATCTCTCTATCTCTTCTAGTTCTCACTTTGTTCGGCTATATTTTAGCAGCTTCTTCGATGTGGACCAGACCACGACGCTATTGGTTTTATTCTCATTTCGATTTCCAACGAGTATTGCCGATAATTGTATAACAATATTTATACTCTTACCTGAGGTGGTTAGTTAGTATAGGTACACGTGAAAACCCCAAAACGTTGTTGTTTCTTCATTTCAGCTACAGCTGTAGAAGATTATATTTATATCAAATGAAATACACGCTGAAGAAAAAATAAACTTGAAAATTACTGGTGTTTTTTTTCCATCGAAAAATTTTGAAAGATTTAAGTGCTTTACTTTAAATTGATTTGTGAAAAAACTAAAACACAACGAGCGAATATCAAAACGTATAAAACGTTAATTGGACTTCAAAGCTCCACACAAATTTTCGATATACTTCCAACCATAAGAACACACTTCATTTTTAAAAACTACACCTTTTTCTCAATTCCGTATCCAAGTTAAAAGGCCTAATCGCACAAAAGATGCGTTGGCGATGGACAGTGATGATTTGTGCTCGGTTTTCTTTTTCTCGGGTAGTAGGGGGCAAAATGCAACCATCATAGTTTATCCGATATTTTTTTTTTTCTTAGAAAATGTCTCGATTATATTGAATATTTACATCTATACAAAATATGTATATGCACAACAGTAAAAAAAAAATTAATAATAATATAGCTTGAATAACATGCAGTAGGAGGGGGGGCCCATTAAAATCGCTACTAACCCCAAACTTCTGTACACTTATAAAATATGACTTACAAATATTAGTGATTTTCTAGCCTTAAAACTGGCCGTTTTTTTTTTATTGTCTTATATATTTTATACTAGCGCTGTTGGGTACTTTTTTTCGTTTGTGTGTGTGTTTTTTTTTCTTCCAATCAAACCGCTTACGTTGAACGATCACGAATTTTGCGCGTTTTTACAATAATTTTCGGGATAAATTGCATTTGAATAAAATATATATATATATATTTAACCATTCTTAATGCTTGTACTGTGTGAACACAATGCCCGATTGTTCGTTCCGCGAGACCATCATTTTATAATTTTAAATTGTGTACTGCTTCAGACGCTTTTTTTTTTTTAACAATTATTAATAATCTTTTGAAGACAATTTTTCAGCTCCTTTTAATAACGACATTAACACGTTCAACCCGATTAACAACGTCGCCCCCAAACTACTACTTAAAATACTGTGTAGTAGTTCAACGGGAGACATTATATCTAAATTATTATAATTAAACATGTTTCGAAACGCGTTTCTTTTTTATTCGGACATTTAATATTTGATTCCATTAAGAGTGTAAAGCTTATTAGAAGAGCCTTCTTAGGCGCACCGTCGTTAAGTTTTCACAAATACCGCCGGACAAACCGTGTAATTTACCAATTATTTTTCACTTCTACCCAACGCCAATGACATATACCTATTTTAGGACGTGTATTTTATTTTACATATAAAGACATCTTTGCTGTGCTTTTTTGCTTTGCATGCCCCGAGACTTACCAGTGGGTATGATGTTATATGATCAATAATAGTTTGATCCGTCAGTATATTATATTTGTATGTCACGTGTGTATGTGTGTGTGTGTGTGTGCGAGCGTTGACACACTGTGTGTATAATATAGTATAATATATAGCTGTTGTGTAATTAATCGTTTGGAGTTTGGCCTCTGTGTGAACTGTTATGTGATACTATAATATTATAGTGTTTTTGTTTTATATTTTCATATATTATTATTATTTGCTATTTAGTTTAGTTTAGAATATTTAGAAAATATGTATTTATTATTTATTAATTACCGATATTGATTTTGCGCTTTTACCACGTACCGGCGGCAGTCGCATTTAAAAAAATTATTTTTAAGCGGTCGAAAATATAGTTTTTTTTTTTTGCAGTAATGTCACCATTTTAGAGTAATATTGTTTGTTACACGTACACGTTAGTTATGTTGTTAATGTTGTAGTCAATTTTTTTTTAGTATATACATATATATATATATTTTTATTATTATTTATTTTTTTAAATACAGCTGTTTAACAAAACTTGAGAACTATTTCGTTTTTAAAAAAAAAATTGTTCTTCAATTTTTGTTTCCTGTATGTGTGTGTGTGTGTGTGTGTGTGTGTGCAAGTACATAATGTGTAGGTGTTGTATAGTAAAAACCGGGGGAAAAAAATAGGTCGTTGAATTTTGCTTTTGATTTGTGCTTCTTTTGTGTGTAGGAAAAACAAATTATTCTATATGGTTTTTTTTTATATATTACACAACATTCTATAATATTAATAATAATAATAATAGTATTATTATTACTAAGAATTGTTGTTTAGAATATTATATTATATTTTGTAGATCTTCTTCATATATGAGTTAAGCAAATACCGGAAAAAAATATTCACTATTAGGTTAAAGTAGTGTATTGTACATTATGTCGACTCGTTAAAAATCTTCAATGGATTGGACTGGTGCGATCGCATATCTCATAGCTTTCCAATACCGTGAAAAAAAAATCACAAACTATAAAGTCGATTAAAATTAAATTTCATAAAAAAAAGTTTCTTTAGTTTTATTATTCGTTCAAATCCACAGTATATTTCGCCCTTATCTTAATGTCAGTATGAAATTATTTTCTCAACTTTCTATACGGTCTCCAGAATTTTTCCAGTACAATTCGTTTTTAAATCTTTGTTAAAATTATATATGTATACTATTTATTGTGTACAGCGAGGGCATATAATTCCATTAAAATTGTATTAAATTGCAAGTATTTTAAACGGAAAACAAGTATTTTTCAGATTCTATTTTTTTTTTTTGTAATCCAATAAGGGGGTGCGGCATAATTTTGAAATTCAGAAAACTTGCAAATAACAACCACCCAAATAAATATATATACAATTTTTGTTATTGTATATTTTGTAAGGACAATTATTACTCAATTTATTATTATTTAATATTAAATTAAAATAAACTAGTAAATTACTATAGTTGGAGTCATTTGAAAACTAAACGACATAGTAGGTGTTTGCAACTTTTTCATCTTTAAAAACCGTATATAATAAAAAATATTTTTTTCATAATCAATACAAATTTTTTTCCACGTTTTTTTTTAACTAACCAATATTAATATATATTAATTAATGATTGGTTATATATGATTAACAAACATTATTATAAAATCAACAATCTCAATGATAACATCTATAATTATAATAATAATAATAGATGATATACTATAGTATTTTACACTGATCAGTAAGTCGGATAAGCAATCTCTTAAGCATATAATATGTACTTTTTTATAAGCATTTTCATACTGATTTTAAGTGTATCACACAACTCTTCTGGTTTGATTGAACGATACACACATTAAAGAATCTTTTTTTCAGACATATAATTTTTTTAATCTAATTTTGTTTTTTCAAGTAATGATAAGAAAAAAAACTAAAAGCTCTGAAAAAAATCACACCAATCCGATGCGCGATGCAAGCACAGACTTTTATTGCGCGCGTTAAGTGCATAAATCGAATTTTCCTTGCCGTCGACCAGTCTGTGTACTATTATATCAAAAACACACTTAAACGTATACAGTAGGTGTATAGTATATTTTGGCAAGTATTTACCGCGTTGAGCAAGTAAACCAGTGTTAATACAATATGTACAAACACATACTCGCAGTATGTATTTTTTGTTCACCGTGTCTCGTCAGGCACACTTGTGAATGTAGTAATTTTTAGCGATTTTAATTTAATTATTGCTTATTAACAAAAAAAAAAAAAAAAAACATACAATGCAGTATAAGTATATGTATATATATATACTATTGAGGGGTACACGGAGTTGTAGTAAAACACGAATATATTTACCTACCTACCTACTCTCTACATGTTGTTTACCATAATAATATACGCCATTTGAGATTACACGCATTATAGAAGCTTATTAAACCACCGTTTTAAGTTTGGACGGTGGTGGTGGTTTATATACATATTATATATAGCTAGCTACGGAATGTGTGGTGGTGTATACGAACCGAGTAATATTTTTTTACATTATATATAATACAAATATTATATTATGACAAATGTTTTTTTTTTTTATGTTATTACTACCATGTGATAACCGCTTTTTTTTTTTTATCTAATTAAATAATATGTATTTATTTGTAGTCGTTCTCTTCCTGTACCTCTCATTTATATGCAGAGCTGGGCATGTTTTTTTTTTTTTTTTTTTCTATATCGATTAAATTATTAAAAATATTTCGATTCGTTCGAAGCTCTAGTTTGTGGTTGGTGGTTTTAGTCGGAGTTAGAAACGGAAACAACGGAGTAGGTATTTTTTTTTTTATAAACATTTTTTTTAGAACGGCAATTTTGCTCAGTGGCTTTGATGTGATGGAGAACTCGGCTAACGGAGACCCGACGAACACATTAGTAGGGCGCCGGCTATGCGTTTGAAATTAAAAAAAAAAAAAAAAAAAATACAAGAAAAACATATATCTCGTCGACATATACCTAATACAGATGATTGGTTTTTTTTTTTGTTGTTGTCTCTGCCTTTTTATAGCTAACAAACAGCAGCAGTTGTTAACACAACACGTGTCTCACTGACAATTATATTAATATTCATGATTTGTCCCAGCTCTGTGTATGCATGTGTGTGCAGGCGAGTGCATATATTTGTTGTTGTGCATATGATGATGATGATGATGAAAAGATCATTTTTTTTTTTATTATTAATTATTTCAAAAACAAATCGAATAAAGCCCCTCTTTTTGTTTTGTTTTTTGTTCGAAGGATAAGACGGAGGTGGCAGACGCGTCCCGAGTGACAGGAAAAAAAAAAATATATATATATATAAAGGGTTTTTGTGGTGGTGAAGGTCCGACGGGAGAGCGCCATATACGTGTTGCTGCATAATAAATACATATATATTATGCGCTGGTGGCAGCCACACTTGACCACGCGGTTCTTAAAAGGAAATTAATAGAATATAATCAATAACATCACAACGCTAGTTAGTTTATTACAGAGAATACTCGATTAGATATTATTATTATTATTAATTTTTTTTTTTTTTGATTTTTTTTTTGTTTAAAATTAATTATTGTTTTTTTATTTTGTTCTCTTTTTTTTTTTTTTTTTTTAATAACGTAAAAACATTCCTACTTATATTAGTGAATTATATAATAAAAAAACAACTCTATACCCCCGACGTGTTGTAGTACACGACACTATTATTAAAATCACACGCACTTTGTATAGATATGTTTTGTAAAAAAAAAAAATTACATTTCCCCCCCCTCCCCCCAATGTACTCTAGTAAAAAATTATCTTATTGTTAACAAAAAAAAAAATATATATATATATATATTTATCATTTATATGCAAAATGGTCTAGATGCGAAATATTATAATTCAGTATTATTATTATTGACACACAACACATGATGATCTTGGACAAATCATGAATTCCCCTTGCAAAATTGTGCGACCAAAAAAAATAATAAAATTTAATTGTTGCACAAATATATACAATATGTAATATATTATATTATATATTTATACAATATATTGTATTATAGAACATTATTTATAAAAAAAAAAAAAAAACCATTATTCTAAAATAATATATTATTGTGATATTTTACATACATTTAAACAAATATGTATAATATATTATATATATCTGTATTTATATATTATAATATTATATATATGTATAACTAGTTACACCAAACATTTGTATGGGTACGAGATATGTGTATTTTACTATAATTTTTAATCGATATTAGAATAATTATTAATATTAAATATTTATCCTAATAAGTTTATTAGCTGTTATTATTAGAACGTATAGTATTTATATATTAACTTAATGTGGTATTTTTGTGGTTTAGATAAAAAAATAATTTATTCACGTTTAGCCTTGAAAAGCCAAAGTTCACACCCTAACTAAACTATTATTGGTTGGGACAACTGTACTGAAAGATATTAATATTAACTATTAAAAATGTTTTGAAAAAAAAAACCAATTAATTTTCTCAAATATTTCTTTTCTAAACGTTTTTTTTTTTTTTAATTCAAACGTGTTTATGTTGTTGCTCGTATATGAAATTTGTAATTAATATATTATTTAAAAAAAAATAACTTTCATATTATTATTATAATTATCATCTAGTCAATAAATTTGAAATTGATATTTTTCCCTTCGTTTACTTCTATATTTTTTTTTTTTTTTAACTTAATGCTGCTAAAAAAATTTGTTTCGACACCACTGTCTGTATTTATATATAATTGCAATGATTTCTTCTCGATCGGAATATGTTTTTTAAAGTAAATTATAATATATCTGGTCAAATAAATTATTATTGATTTATAGTCATAAATTTATATATAAAAAAAAAATTGTTGTAAATATTATATTATATTCCGATGGGACCTCAAATCATTCATTCAAGTGCACTTTTAGTAATATTATTCGATTGAAAAAAAAAAAATGAATATTGTTATAATAATAAGTTGTTATTATATTTTTATTCGTTATTAAATGATGATAATGACAAATCGATTGCCTTAAATTTACAGTAAAAATAAAAGAAAAAAAGTAAATATTGTTGTATTTTTGTTAAGAATTATCTGAAAATGATGGATCAAATTAATTATATCTAATTTTCTTTTAAACAACAGTCTTGAAACTATTTGACTATTATTATTATTATTATTATTATTATTATTACTATTACTATTTTTATTATCATTTATTTATTATAATTATTATTATAGATATGGGTATTTTTCAATTTAAATAAAAATTTAATGCCAATTTTGGAAATTTGTAATTTGTTTTCTTGTGCAGGCAAAGGGTATATAATTTTTTTACATAAACTGTATCGGTAAATGGAAATAAAATAAAAACGCGGTTTAGATGTGATATTTTAATTAGTTTTGTACACATTTATATGGCAAATTATAATTCAATGGACCATAACACATTATATATTTTTACAAAAAAAAAAAAATTAACTGTCAACTTAAATTCGTATAAAATATTGTTGTCCATGACGTGTGTTCAATATATATCTTAAAGTGCTTGTTTATTAAGATTATTACAATAATTATAAGTTAATATACAACGGTGATGTGTAAACCGTGTTAATATTTTTATCGCACTGTGTATTAATTAAATAAATAATAAAAATATATTATTTATTATTTACGTATGTGTGTATACCATGATGTTGTTTCGATCCGGTGGATCATTCCTCGGTATGAATCGATGAACTTGCAAAAAAATATTTAACCAATCAAAGTCACGTAACGCATTTGCCGCTTAGTTTAAATTATTATTTATTTAATATTTTTTTTATTATCGGGTACCTACAATTTTCTGGTTTTTTTTATTCTATACCTTTTGCTAGATTATTTTGTGTGCGTTTGTGGGTTTTTTTATTCGAACAAAAGCTTTTAATTATATCATGGGAAAAAGTGGGAACGGCTACAGTTTTCGTTGTTTTTTTAATCTATTTTGTACACCTATGAGGCTAGAAAAAAACAGTATATTCCAAATTAACTTGGGGTTTTGTTTTTTACACACATTTTTAAGTAATATAATGTAATGTGTGGTTTGTGTGTGTGTGTGTGTGTGTGTGTTGAATCCAGTGGTGTATAGTGTAGTATAGTGGGACCGAATCAACGGTAACGTGTTGCAGGTCCGTCGAGCAGCGGCAACAACAGCTCGTCCGCGTCGTCGCCGACGCCTCACTCGTCGAAACGCATGTCGGCCAGAATGTCGCACAACAACATGCTGCTGAACACCTCGCCCGTGGTGCTGTTGAACGCCAACGACGCTGCCACCGGCGCAGCAGCGTATTCTTCGTCGTCGTCGTCATCGTCGTCGGCACCGACCCCGTCAAAAGCCGGCGGCAACAAGCCGGTGCCCAGAGAAGTAATTGATTAGTTTTTTTTTCCATACTTAAATCCACCAAAAATTATATACATATATATAATATTTTATATATATATATATAATATTATTAGTAATAATTGTATGTATATATATATACTTTTACTTAACCATAAGCTATCTATCGACAAGAAATAAATGCACAAAAAGTTTAACGCGTAAACACAGGGGGATAGTAACGCTAACGTTATACGGTTAACGATACCGTACGTAGGTAACGTTTGTAACTTTGGAGGATAAACTCTTCCTTGGAGGATGAACTTTGGATAGAAAAAATGTATCTAATAAGAGTGAGTCAGAAAATGTATACAGGTATATATAACATAACATATGTTATATTGGAGCAAATCAAATTTTAAGCGGTCAAACGAAAGCGACATTCTGTATTTTCAATCGGTTATTGCGAAGAGGTGTTTTCTCAAAATTTACATTATTTGTTATAAAAAATTTTTACTCTGATTGCTTATTTGATTATGAGAAATTAATTTGGATTGATATCAAGTATTGTTGTTGCCGTATCGTCGTATGTCGCGTTACAGCAGGCATAACTAGAGTGTTTTGAGTGTTGTGAAATCGTTGTAAATTTGACTGAAGATTTTTTTTCCTTCAAGCTTTAAATCGGTTAGCTTTCAAAATTTCATAAATCTTTATACTATATATATATACTATTATCGATCCGGCAGCCCTATTATATATTTTAGTAATCTAACGTAATAATTATGCGTTAACATACATGTATTACAAATGGCCCCCGGGGTGTTGAGTATTTTTTTTTTTTTATAGGGAATTAATACATTTTACCTGGACGATCAACAACAGTTGCCGATTGTATTTTTTTTTTTTTAATCTAATTGTCCATTTTCAGGGCTACGGCAAGGGCAAAGCCGCCGCCGGAGGAGGAGCCAACAAATCCATTAACCCATCACCTTACTGCGACTTCTGTTTAGGCGACGCAGTGTCCAACAAGTCCGGTCAACCGGAAATATTGATTTCCTGTTCAGATTGCGGCCGTTCAGGTAACAAATATTAACACGGTTGTCCACTGACGTACCGTCGAGGCACATTATATTTCAATAATTTGACTTTATTGTGTAAAAAAAAAAAAAAAAACTACAAATAATTGTTTAATAGATACAATAATTAATGGATAAAATATAGGCAATTTTATTAAAAATAAAAATAAATTTTTAAGTGAAATCGATACTTGATAATTATTTGCATATGTACTGCATTTTATGTACTATTCTTAATGTATTTAACTTTTTACTTGGTTATCAAAAAAATTCCGTTATAAAGGTTACTACTCGTTTACACACACAATACAGCTTTATCAAAGATAGATAATATTAATAATATTTTTTTAGTGCCTTGAAAAATAGATGACTTCAACTGTGTTGTGTTTTGTCGATGAATTCTTTTGTGTGCGAGAAGTGCAAAATTCAATTCACGAAGTACTTGCGATTAAAAATATACTTACAAATCAATACTTTGTATGAAAGTATTCATGAGTAATGAAAATTTGAAAAGTTAATATAAAAAAAAGAATTGTGTTAAAACAAATTTATTATTTAAACAATCTACACAATATTTTGTATAGGACATATTAACGGTACTACACGATTACAATTTTTTGTTTTTTTAATAACTTATTATTTTATAATGTTTCATAAATATTTTTAAATAGTTTTTGTGTTTGTTAATATTAATTAAAATAATTTTTTGCTGTACAGAATATAATTTCTGCTGTGAAACAAAAATATAATAAAATAAACTGTAAACTATAAACTATAAAATAATATTAAAAAAATGTTTAAAAAACATTAAAAAACCCCTGGATTAAAAGATACGATGGAATATTTTGTAGACAATCTTGATTTAATAAACGATCGAAACAAATGGTCAGATAAAATCAAAACAATAATAGGTTCGTTCGTTGCCGAACAGTTTTTGTTAGCAATCGTCGTTGCGGAGATGACATTTGGTAAAACAAATTGGACTTTTTTTTTGTTTACAGGGCATCCGACTTGTTTGCAGTTTACGGCCAACATGATCATATCGGTCGGCAAATACCGTTGGCAGTGTATCGAGTGCAAATGTTGTTCCATTTGCGGCACATCCGACAACGACGTACGTAGTGCGAACAATCTCATTTACCGATACGCTTGTGTTTCTGTTCGATTACAAATAATTGCCTTTTTTTTAAATATTTATATTATACTAACCTACATACCTAACCTACCCAAACTATAACCGATAAAAAAATATCTGTCATTTGTTCAGTCTGATTGATTTGTGACCGTCTTCCCATGTAGTGAAAAAATGTGCTAATTTTAAAACTGTTTTTTTTTTTTTAAATGTTTCCATTAGAACAACAATGTTGATCATTTGTTCGTATTTCATTTCAGATAATTAGCAAATTCTTATTTTTATTTAGCAACTTTAAAGGCGTTAAAAAAAATCCAACCGACGGTAAATAACGTTAAAGACGTCGGGATAGGCCGAAAATATTTTATTTTTATTAATTACATTGGTTTTACACCAATTTTTACATTGGGTGGGCTGTAAGGGCATGACTTTTCAAAATAAATAAATAGTGTGTCTTAGACCACCTTAAACGTGACATATTCTCAATTAAGAGTGAATAATTTTTTTTCTTCCCTGTATCTCTCCTGCAGTATTGTTTTAACAAAATAATTATAATTATTATAATTTATAAGTGTTTAAGAGTATTTTTTATTTTTATTTTTCTTCCAGGATCAACTTTTGTTCTGCGACGATTGCGACCGCGGCTATCACGTGTACTGTTTGACGCCGCCGTTGACGTCGCCGCCCGAAGGATGTTGGAGCTGCAAATTGTGTATAAAAGAATTCCATTCGAATTAGACCACCTGGTTGCGGCGGTGTTGTCCTTGCGACCGACAAAAAAAAAAAATCATACCTTTTGTTTTATAAAGTTGACTCCTCTTATGTTATTATTTTTTTATATGAAATCATTTCCAAACCTCTTATGTGGTTATGTATGTGTGTGTGTGACCGTCGTCCTCTCGAGCACAAACCAAAATTAAAAAAAAAAAATAGTCCTTAAGATTGTGTTTAATATATAATTTTTCCCCCCCACAATCGGCAGGTTCAACCGCCGCCGCGTATGTCTTAGATGTTTAAGGTCCCCGTCAGTATTACGATTATTCTTAAGTGTCTTTGTGTTTATTTATATGTGTAATTTTTTTTTTTTTTTTGCCCTTTCGGCTCGAGTACACAGCAGTATTTTTTTTTTTAATCGTTAATTTATATTTTATACATTCGCCGATTCAAACGGAACGTTTATCTTTTATTACGTGTACTTATTATTAACGTGTTTCGTAAAATCTTTTTATCGTACTATCGACAGTGATTTAATAATTAACCTTATATATATGTGTGTGTGTGTGTGTGTGTACGTATTTATATATAAATTTTTTTTTTGTATTTTGTCTTAAACGTAACAATTAGTGTTTTTGTGTATACGTATAGAAACGTGTGAGTTTTTTGTGACTATTTAACAGAAATATTTTTAAAATTATTTATACCATTTCTTTTTTTTTTTTTAATTAACGACGTGTAGTCATTTAAATTAAAAACATTACATTAAACAAAAATATAAGGTTTTTTTTTTTTTAATGGGGTTTTTCTTTTCTTTTTTTCAACTATATGAACCCTGTTGTAATAAGAATTTTGAGTTTATTTTATTTTAGTATACAGTGATGTATACGGTGTGGCAGTCGTGTGTTCGGTCGTAGCCGGCATTAAATCGGCACAGATCGAAAAAAAAAACAAAAGCAGAGCTTACACGTGCAGAGAGTAGTGCACAAATTTGTTTGACTAAAGTGAAGTTATTTTCGTCGTGACAATATTATATTGAATTATAATTTAAGCCCTAAATGACGACTAATTGTCGATATTGTACTAAAAAAAAACAAAGAAAATTTTTGGGTAAAATGTTTTTTAAATTTAAATAAAAAACAACAGGTACAAAAATTTAAAGACAATGTTTACCCGACTAATCTTTGCCAACTTTAAATGGCCCTTTGGCCCTCCTGTGAGAATATTTAAAAATTAACTAGATGTTCTGAGGCCAGATTAGAATTTAGCAAAAAAAAAAAAAAATAGGTTAAACTTTCCTGTACACTGTCGTCTGTAATACCTAATGATCTTGTCCTTTTTATTTTTATGAACTTGTACTTTTACAATGAAATAACAATAATGGTTTTTTTATGTTGTTTGACAAATATGAAAACAGGAGCTTAGGTATTAACGATAGGTTAAAATAAAAATCTTACTTAATATTGTATATTTTATCTTTGAAAGCGTGCGATTTTAAGGAGGTTTTTGTATAGGCACGATATTTCAGAACAAATAATGGTTTTAATCAATTTAACTGAGCTGATCAACCTTTGTAGCTGTTGATGTTTGGTTTTTTTATAAGAAAACGGTGATCTGTGCGAATATTTACATCCAGGTCATCATTATAACTATCTAGAATGAAGTTAATTATCTATCTCTTTTAATAGATACACAGAGCCGCTTTAAATGGAGGTTATTTATAGTTGCACCATTTTAGTAGTAATAGTATCGAAAATTGTGATTTTTTTATTACAGCCTTTTGATTATTATTGAAAAAAATGTTTATTTTATAATTTTTGCTATGTAAGTTGTGCTAGTGAACACTTTAAACGGTCTTGTGAAAAATCTTGTTCTCTCAATATTATGTCTTTAGCATTACGATGCGAGAATTTTGTTAAGAGTTCTCCATAAATTATAATCAGTGGCGTTACAGGTCAGGTTGGTTTAGTTGAATATGGAGTACCTCAAGGAAGCGTTCTAAAACATACAATGCGTGCAGTTTATTTTGCTTTATACCAATCCGTATTTCAATATGGGTTACTAATTTGGGGAGGTTCGGCAGATTGTTTTTTAAATCAACTACAAACGAACCAGAACAATATAGTTAGAATTTGCCTAAATAAATATTCTTTATCTGGTTCTACCTCGCATAATTACAGAGAATTGGGTGTCCTACCTGTTAAACACTTCTACTTAAAAATTTTGCCATTCTGTTCACATTTAAAAACTCCAGTAAAGGACTTGACGGTCAATATCTTGTAGACAAAAGGGAAAACAGACGGTTTAATATACCTATCGATTACCCGTGCAAATCTTTTGGTCAGTCATTTGTAAACTATATACTAATATTCAGCTCTCTCAAAATAATGCTAAAAAAATTAGTATATAATTGGTTGTTCTCCCTAGTAAGTTAAAATATTTTAATCTTAGCTTCTATTGCTGTGTTTAAATTGTTTATTATTTGTATATTCTTGTTTCTCTTTTTTTGTTGTTGTTAATTTGCTATATATGCACTTAAATTTCAGTTAAGTTCCATAACTCTCTATCTCTAACACAAGCTTTTAGCTTAAAAGAGATAGATAATCATGTAAAATTTTTATATACTGAAATTTTGTAAGTAATGATGATTTTAAAAAAAAAAAATAATAATAATATAAGGTTTACCTACATGAATTGATCATATTGTACTAGTTTGTGTGTTTATAAATCTTCTGACGGGTGGGTATGTAGGCGGTAGGGAATAATGTATTATTTTTAATACACACTTCTGGGCATCGTGTCACATAATGTCTAAGTGTTATTTTTCCTCTTTTTTTTTGGTGGGGGGAGGGGGATAAATAGCTATGACTTTTTTTTGCGTTTTTGGCCTAACAATGGCAGCGCTAAGCGAACGCTGATCTACGTAGAGGTGCTAACGGAAAAATAAATATTATATAAAAATAATAATAAAAACATTATGTTAAAGCAACGGGTACAGCTTTTTTTAGTCACGCTAAAACGATGATTTTTTTTTGTTATTTTCTAGCCGACTTGTTTACTTTATTGTAGATTTCCGGCAAGTTGAATTCGCACCGAAGCTGTCGCCTGATCTTGTCGTAGAGACCGTGGTCGAACATGGATTTGAATTCGTCCGACGTCAAGTGAGTGCCGGTGTACAACATTTTGAATCTGTAAATCCGTTCGTTTGCATTTAAAAGTGTATATTTTGTTCGCTTAAAACGGGACGGGCCCGATTCGAATACAGGCTGATGATCAATTTAACGTAAGACACTGGTTTTCTTTTAAACGTATCGCCTTTGTACTTAAGTAAATAGTTCAGTTTCACCGTTTGTTTCACCAGAATGTAGATAACTTTTCCGTGAAAACCCAATTTTCCAAAAAAAAGTCTCTGGTCGTAGCCCCGAGCCCTTCAATTAAAATTTTATGTATAAATATATGTATATTTTTTTTAAGTATGTTTATTTATGTTAGGTATAACAGTAGAATTGTTTATAATATAAAATGATCAAACGGGTATTTGCCAGAGCACCGTCGAATTTTGAAACTCAAAATGGTAGAGTAAGGTATAAAATTAAAAAACAATTTGCCGAAAATGTTGTCTAACCATGGTTAGGCTACCAGTTTTGGATGATTAATTTTTAGGTTAAAGTTTAAAATCAGCAATGTAGTATTATTTTTAACACTGCGTGTATCTCCCGTCCTAACGCTTTAAACTACAATAATTATTAGTTAAGTATAGTTAGTTTCAAGTTAAGTACAAATATCCAAAACTAGATCATCGACCATACAAATTAGTCTTTATTGTGAAAATTGCACATTCGTTGCCGTTTAAAAATTTTTTATTCGTAGGATTTCAACAAAAACAAAGTATGAGGTTAAATAGTTGAAAAACGTTTCAAAATATTCGGGATAACTTATAACTGCAAAAGTATAAAGTACATATTTTTAAAAAAACTCTAAAAGTAGTAAAATTAACTGGTTTATAGTTGGTAAATCACCATGCATTTGTTTCGCTATACCATATTTTTTTTATCTCTGGTTTTGATTCGATTAGGATCCGAGAGGTCTTTGTAAGCAATCATACAAAACTGAGTATCGTCAAAAAAATAATTTTTAATACTTAAAGTAAATTTACGTTAAATTTATCACCCTGTATACGACTAGATCATGAAATAGTAACTAGGAACAAGAGTTAGTTCAACAGGTGTGGGGAATCGGTCACTTTTATCACTCGGGTATCTCAGCAAGGCTGGACGTTAACGGGCTAACAAGTTAAGTTAATTTGAACTTTTTCACTCGACTGGGATTTTATCAACTAAACTTGATTTGTGAACAGTACATTGTGCAGAACCTTGAGCCCAATCGGGTGCATTTAAAATGTTTACAAGATTAAATAGGAATGGGAAACCAAATGTGAGGCCTACAACAAACCCAAGATCAATTCTAATTTATTTTTTAAAAAACGGTCACAAGGGAAGCCATATTAATAGCTCCGAGGCAAATGTTCGAAAAGCAATTATAATTTGCTTTGTCGACAAGTTACCTGACCTATCATTGCCGATGACATAGTCACAGACCAAGAAGAATGTCCAAAAATACTATGCAATGGTCGGACAACCGTTCTTACCCTTTGAGTTTGAGCACAAAGTGTTCCAATCGCGTGCCGGTGGCTTTGCAATTGTAGCCGGACACTTTGGGTTCACCGTACAGGCCTACGTCCACGTACATTTCGTCTTGGGCCGAGGGCGAATGCATCAGTCCCCGACCGGAACGCAACACGACCGGACACACCCAAATTGGATATATCTACATGAGGAATTCAATGCTGTTATTAGGTACTTATAATAATAAGGTGAAGAAAAATCCCTTCGGTTTTTACGTTCAGAGTCCGATGGAATTGTCCGAGGGATTCGGCCAAACCGGACAGCGGCAGTATGAAGTCGTCGACGAAATGATACTTGTCGTACAGCCGCTTGACTATAGCGGTCTGGGTGAGTTTGAGCAAAGCTATTTTCGGCGGCATCAACCACCCCAAGAAATACCGGAACACCGCGTTGTTGCCGAACGGTATTATATCCTTGAAACAAATGGTTTTAATTTACACACAACACACAATTTCGATAACAACACTCCTCCTGTATTGTACCTGTATCTCCCAAAAAAGCGAATTGTTATGCCTGAAGTAATAGTCGGCCAGCGGGACGAGTTCTTCGGCGTGACGATCGGCTTCGAGAAACGTCTGCACGTGTTTGAAAAACCACGGCTTGTAGAACCGACCGATTTCGTTGACTGTTGTCGCCTAGTACAAAACAAGCGTGATTCCAATCTATATTTAAGTTCGGCACGTCTCAATGTGAACACACTGTTGATTGTTCAGATTTTGGACAGTGTTTCGACAGCCTGAGTGATTCCGGATGTTCACACAATTATAGGTAAATAACGATGAAAAATAACAAGTCGCAACAGTACCCCTAACCACCTAACCCCCGTTGGTAATTTGCTCGTGGTCAGAGCAAAGCTCGGGGCAAGTTCAACATGCGCGTCCAATAGGTGTATTATAGGTATTATATTTATGAGAATGACACAAGGCAGATGGAACGCAAGCATATTTCCTCAATCGTTATTGAATCCACAAAAGTGTGTGGGTCCCAAAGTACAGATCGACGTTCAAGTTTGGGCAAAGTGGAGAGCGCAGTCGGCGAGCCCGAAAGTCTTCCATCGCCAGGATTGGACCATTGCACCATTGGACCAGGCCAAGAAATTAAAATCAAATTGACAGCACGTGCGACAGATAACCCCACGAGTGTTATAATCAAAATCAGTGGGGAATGTTGGGGAACAACGAGCAAAATTCATAGCCTACTACACACTTGGCTACGTCGAGTTTAGGATCAATAGTTTCGCCCCAGGAAAGTAAGCAACCGAAGTCCGCTTGCAGTGATCCACAATCGGATGCATATGTCGAAGAAAAGACACCTATTAGATCTTGAATATTTCTTATGATCAGCTGGTGTTCTTTGGTTTTTAGATCTGATAGATGTGCGCCTATCCTCTCCATTCCCCCGAAGATCATCTGATGAGGAACAGCGGTAAGATTGATCCCTCGTCGCCAATCTTTTACCAGCCGAAAATGTTCTGTGTTATAAAACGCCCAACCGATGTGTGTTACCTACCGTGTTGTCTTCGCCGTCGGTCAACCGTCCGGTCACCAGTACTCCGTGACTTTGGCTGAACACGATCAGCTCGACAAATTCGTTGTTGCCGTTGACCTCGAGCCTCAGAGCGGATTCCATTCGTTCGGCCGGCCCGACCACCGGGCTGTACTCGAGTGCCACGTACTTTTTCGCCGGCATTATCTTCAGGTCGACCGCCGTCAGGAAACCCAACGTCCCGTACGAACACGGCAAACACTCGAACGCCTGCGCGTTCTCCGTCTGCAAAGACAAAACCCTCGGTAAACGTTCGAACGTCCAGTGGGGGGGGGGGGAAGTTCTCCCGGATTTAGGACCGCGCGGTTAAAAGAGCATGGTAAATTCCAGGCCGGAGAGGGTAGCACATCCCCGAGGGCGTCCCACACAGAATCCCGGGGAAGTGCTTACCACTCCCGGTAGGATAGAATTTGCCGGTCCTCAATCCGGTTTATACTAGTCTCGACGACCGGTCGGACCTTCGAGCAAGTCATCACGTTTCCATCGCAAGTAATCAGTTCGTAGCGCGTGCATAGCTCGTAAAACAGTCCGTATTTGTGCGACGAAGATTCCAATCCGGTTCCCATGACGAGGCCGCCTGCAACACACACACAAGCATGGGTAAGTAGCTGTGTAGGTTTGTATCAAGTACATCAAGTAGTAGTGAGTACCGACTGGGAAAGGGCAGCGGTCGAGTAAAGAGGAAAATAATAACAGCTTTGGAAATCCAGGAGATTACGTCATGATGATTGGACAACGATGATGAGAGTTGTCGATTTGTATGGGATACACGACGAGAACGCAGATGAAAAGATTACATTTTATGATGATATTTACCGACGGTTAATTCTTTTAAGTCGACCACGATGGGAAGTGTCCATCCGGACTGGATCAGCGCTGGAACCAACCGACCGAAGGTAATGCCAGGTTCCACTCGAACTGTCTGCATGATATTCAAATTGGATAGTAAGACACATGTTATTAAATAATATGATATACCATGTTTCCCCCTTGAATGGAAGACATTGGATCAACCATATGTCTTAGGACGCCTTTGGTCATTATACAATTAACACTAATCCACCACATTCCCTTCCTCCCCACCATCATATTACTATCCCATCCCTTTCCTTCTTTTCTCCTTTAATTCCTCTTAATTTAAGCAAAAAAAAAAATTTTTAAGTCTGTTTTATAAAATATCTTTTATTTTTAGGTAAATTAATTTATTATTTAGATTGAAATTAATTTAAAGTCCTCGTGGATTGTAATTTGTTTTCTAGCACTTGAAAGCCAACTTTTTTTTGGGGTTTTTCATTTTTCTTAAGAAATACAGCAAAATTAGGGTGGGGAAAAATGTAATTTAAATTTCTATCAAAAATGTTCTTTCATTCAAACCAATAGTCTATCCCCAGTCAACTTTCTTGATTTTTAATTTTTGGAAAATTTATTTTATTATTAAGAAATTAAATTAAAAATTATGAAAATTCAGGGTGGGAAATGTGTTTTTATGATGTCTATACAACTTCAAAGCTGTGATGAATGAACTTTATATCAGATAAAGTTTTGAAAATCTTCACTGCACTTATACATGCCAAAGTGATTATCTAATAAGATCCTAAATAACAAAATGTGTTCGTCGTTTCGGAATTCAGCGAGGCTACTGTAAAGTTAATCTAAAAATTGAAATATTAGTATTTTATACAGATATTTTGTATCTTATTGGACAAGCTCTTTCTAATGAGTTTAGAATCGACTTTCTACCTTTTATAGTTTATGAAAAAATCGAGCGTTTACAAGGTGTAATAACACACAGTCTTTTTTCAAAATCAAACCATTATACCGCACGGGTATTTTGGGAGTTAAACCCCATTTTCTAGGGGAGAGGGGAGGTTGCTAAGTTCGTCGTTCAAGCCACTGATTTACACTTACTTGGGATTCGGTATCTATTGCAATTATGGCGTCCAAGTGAACGTCAACGTTGTGCATGTGTTTTTTGTATAAGATGTCAGCCAACGACACGCTCTTCCAACTAGGTTTCGCCGTACACATCATCCGGTTCGGGTCCTTTTCGTTTCTCAGACGGATCTGAAACAAATATCATACAAATAATCACCAGTGTACAGTCCAAACCAGCAGCCCGGTGTAAACCAGCACACAGTAAAGGTGCAGAACGGAAAGGAGGAGTCGAGAGAGAGACGGGGGAAAAGAGAAAACGCGAAGGAGATTATGACCACAAATCTTGGACGAGCAAAAGAAGAAGATATTTATTTTCGAGTCAGGAATAAGACCGCGACACCGTGGGGGTGCCTAGGGACGACAGGACAGATCGAGCGATGCCACAAGGAAGAATTGGGAGAAGAAGGGAGGACCATTTATCCTGCCACCCTAAGCAAACATGGAATTCCTGGAGAATGTTGTCTGTTTGAGTAAAATTTCGATCAAGCAACAATGTTTACCCGGCGCTGAATTTTCTTAACGTTTTCTCGGTGTCGGTCTCCGTCGGTGTACACCGCTCCTGTTCGCATTTCCCACACTGACCATAGTTTACCCAGCACGGTGCAGGGCAACAAAAACAAACACACAAACACCCATCGATAGTTGATCATGACATATTCGAAAACCGTATCGACCGCCGCCGCCATGGTCGGTTCTGTTGCCACTGCGCGCATTCGTCCAACGGTGTTGGGTAAAGGTGGTATTGTACACTTAATAGTAGATAGTAGTAAACTACTGTTAGATAATCGAGACGACACCAGAGAAAATTGTTAGTAGATACAGCGAAACAAATACTACAGGGTGATTCACCGACAGCTATGAACCAGTGAATATCTCAAAAGACAATAGACTGTTTTCAACGATCCACTTTCAAACTCTTTCTTAGTAATAAGTTGGCCAAAATTTGATATGTTTTCCAACTCCGACCCGTCTCTATTTTTAACGAAACCCTATCAACTTGAGATTTTTGAATGGTAACGCGCGAGGTTCACTTTTTAAATTAAAAATAATTGGCTGAAACTTTTGACTTGTCGATAACCAGTTTTGGATAATTCTTTTTTAAGTTTAATAGTGAAATAAAGGTATTCAAAACTAGTCATCGATAAGTCAAAAAAATGTTCAGCAAATTATTCTTAATTTCAAAAGTTAATAAAAAAAACCCTTGTTACCATTTGAAAAACTCAAGTTCATAATATTTCAACACATAATTAAAGATGGGGTTATATATTGGGCGAATATATTTACTACAAAAGTATAAAAAAAAAAAGTAATTTCATAAAGCCTAATATGAAATACTCACTGGTCTGGTTCATAGTTTGTGAAACACCCTGTGTAATGAACGAGTGAGTATGTATGTACTTGTATAGTTTACAGGCACTCGACGCTTTGGCAAAACAATTGATAGAATTATTTGTCAGCCTTCAGAGATTAGATATTATAGTATTGTCAAATTGTCAACAATATTCTCTTCTTTGAACATTTCTCAAGATAATCAAACAATATGTTATTAGGAAAACATAATATTATAATAAACAAAAGTATACTCATGACCGCCGCCTTACATTTACAATGTAAATTTTCAAGACAATTACAATAGTAGTAGGTATTGAAAGAAATGTAAGTGAGAATTGTTTGGGGGGAAAAAATGAAAAACCACAATAGTGGTATAAGCCAGAAAGTAAACGGATTTTATGATTAAACTGTATTTTTCAATCCTAGTTTAAAAATGAAAAAAAAAAATGTTTTATGCTTAAAATGACGGCGTTTTCTTACTAAAAATGTTCTCACTTTTGGATGATGTCACATATTTGCAATTAAATTTAAATCACCTAAATGTCGAAATAGTTGAAATAAATTAAAATCGTCATTAAATAATTTATCAAAGTAATATTATTGCTTTTAAATTTGTAATATGGGTTTTGCAATAATTTAACTACACACCATAACATAATATATTATATTCATATTATTTATTTTTTATAACTCTAATGAACATTTTTAAAAATGAACAACATAGTCGTGTGAACCGCATGCAAAAACCTAGAAAATTACTATACAAAATAAGTTGGCTATTATATCTCACAAACCAATTATACAATTATGTCGTTTGTAGTATAGATTAGATAATAATATGGTAAATTGACTGTAGAGTACTTTAATATGTTGTCTTACAATACACTTAGTAATTTTCTAGAACGCAGATTCTAGTAGACTGTTGCGGTTACACGTCATAATCCATTTGCAAAGACCACACCAACAATAATTATGGACAATATAGATTATGACAAATTGTTAGTGCTGATTGATTTGAGTACGTTAATAATAGATGTTCGTGAAAAAAAAGAATTAGCCGAAACCGGTGTGTTGCCAAACAGCATAAACATACCGTGTAAGTACAATGATTAATAAATAAATATATTGGTCTGTGTTTGGCTTTATTAACTCAAATGGTTGGTTTATAAAATTGCTACTTTTTATTTTATTCCTTATGTCTATTTTGCTCATTTGTATTTTTTCCATTTTCCCATTCTATCTACAACTGCTGTTCCCTTGGCAAAATATACTTTAACTCGGCATCTGTCGATATAATTTCTAATTAGCTAGAAAACAATTATTATGATAATAATCGACCAATGTTTTAATGACTAATGTAAATAACCGGTACTTTATGCTTTAGTGAGTGACGTAGGTAATGCATTATCACTTCCGGCTTCGGAATTTGCAGAGCTGTATAAAATTCCAAAACCAGACGCTGAGAAAAGTGAAATTGTGTTTTCGTGTCGTTCAGGAGTTAGAAGCCAAAAAGCAGCCGGTCTAGCTCAAAAAGTCGGATATAAAAAGTAGGTTCTCTGATATAGAATTAAATAATATTATGCTCAACATATCATATCAACATAATATCTTAACGTCATATTTTTTAATTAAGGATACTCGGAGAAATCCATTTAGAATTCATCTATGTGGAGTTGTATATAAAAAATCAGTCTGCATAGATTTTTAAATAGTATAGCTCTTTATTAAAATGAAATTCAGTTATTTTTTACTATGTATTATGTACAGTAAAAACAGTATAGTAGATCAATGAATTTGTTTAGGGAGAGAATTGGATTGTTTGAGATGCCAACTCACAAAAATTACTATCTATGTTTGAAATGTTATGTTTTACATTTTAACAGAAATATTATGTTTGTAATTTCAGAGTGTACAATTACACGGGTGGTTGGAGTGAATGGGCTGAAAAAAATTTGGCCGTGCCAAAAAATATATAAGTAATGTATGATTTTGCTTGTATGGAATTTAAATCCGGTAATTCTTTTTGGACAAACCAAATAAAGTAATTTATTACACATTTTATAACTGGAGATAAAGGATTTAAGTTCCACATTATAATTAATTACTTTTTCTGAATTATGTAATAATTTGAACTAATTGTCTATAGCTGTTTTTGATGGTGTGTAATCGACCGCAAATAAGTCTACAGTACACTTAGAAGTTGTGTCATTAAGAAATGGTGAATTTTGATTAAAAGAAACTTTTAAACTACCATTATTTATAGTTTTTGTTTTAAAGAATATATTTTGTTTTGTTATAAAATACAGAATTTTACGAATATGTGTTATTTTTTTTACACGAGAATTTATTTTAATCAAATAGTTTTTTGTGATAGTTATGAACTTTTTTTCGCTTTAAACTTAGACAATTATTATTGAAAATAATTTGTAAGTAAATCAAAAATATATTTTATTATTTTTCAATATTATTTATCATTTTTTACAAAAAGTGTTAAATATTATAAACTTTAATGTTTTATAAGAATAATATTTAATCTAATATTATTTTAAAATTAAAATAACTTAGTTATTAAAATAATTAAACGCTTGTCAAGTCGGGGTCGACATAAAGACTTTGCTTTTTTATTTTAAACGAGTTATTTTAAAATAAAAATATATTTTAATATTAAGCAATTATTTAAAAAATTATGAAAATTTATGGGGGGGTGGGAAATTTGTTTGTCCTCTGAACTTTCTAGCTTTGGTACATCTTCAGAAGATGAAGATTTTATATTTACAATCATTCTTGAATGTCATCGTTGGTCAGAAGAAACTAGAAAAGAACTTTGTTCCAGAACCACTTCAGGACGACGGGAAATGGTAGGAGAAATCGCTCTATGCCGAGCAGCATAACTATGAGGAAGAGAGTCCCATTTAGATTGCCAGGAATTAAGTAGTGACTTTTTTTAGGAAGAGGCCTATATATTAGAGATTTAACGAGGAGAATAAGGGGAGAGAGTGAGGAATTAAAAGGGTCGGAGGACAAGGCCTGGAGGCATGGCTGGGAGTCGGAAATAATAAGAAAATTGCCTAAGTTAAAGGAAAAAAGGCGTTGAAGGGAACTGGCAATTGCATGCATAGCGCTCGGCTGTAAAGGAGGAAGCGTAAGAAACTAATTTTTCAGAATAAGAAAAAAGTAAGTGTAGGTATAAAAAATTAAAAAAAAACCAGCTGAAATAGGAGAAACAGAACCGCGCCTCAGTATAAATGCATAAGGAATTAGGGAAATGGGATGAACAGAAAGTAATTATGTGTAATAGTTATAAGATATGGTATGACGTATTGTTGTACATTTATTGTGTTTAAAAAAGGGTTGAGTCGCGCATGTAGTGTCGACAATGAAACATCGTAATATACGATTACATTCCGTTTTCTCAAGTATAAAATTAAGTTCTATACTATTTTTTTTATTTCAAAAACGTCCTGGTATCAAAAAGTACCAGTTATCCATTGAGCTATTCACCATATCTCTCTGAGGATCCAGAGCTACTCCATCTGCATTTTGGTAATAATTTTAATTATCTAAATTCTATTATCTACGGCGGCCCGCTTCGGACGGCCCGCAAATTGCCGATATCGCTCGCGATAAGCTCACACCGTCATGTCGTTCACATCGAATACCGATAAATCAAAAACTGTCTCACCACTAATAATACAAAAGTCACGCATACAGAGCGTGCCAAATCAACCATTAATCTCTCCAGCTAATTTTTCCCCCAATGACGGCTTTACCACACCAAAAAGTTCTAAACGACTCCCTTCTCCAGCCCACTCACCAAATAATACACAACACAAAAAACATACAACATACGTTTCACAAAATCGTTTCTCACTTTTTGCCGCAAACGATACCGAGGAACCTGTACTTCAAGCCGACAATATGGATATTGTTACAGAGCACACTGAGTCTCCCATCATTGAAACCAAACCTCCTCCTCCAATTTTTATCCGTGTTGTCAATGACTTCAATTCATTTTGCTCAGAAATTAAAGAAGTCACCAAAGGTGAACAGTTCTCTTGTAAAAGCACAACCAATGGTTTGAAACTCTTTACCAGCTCAGCTGATTCCTACCGTTCGGTTATTAAATTGCTTCTATCAAATAAAGCAGATTTCCATACTTACCAGCTAAAAAAAGATAGACCGTTCAGAGTGGTAATCAGAAACCTCCATCACACAACATCACCCGAAGAAATTAAAAAAGAATTATTGTCCCTTGGTCATACTCCAAGAAACATAACAAATGTTATTCAACGGTCTACAAAGCTTCCACTTCCACTTTTCTTTGTCGATTTGGAGCCTGCCCTCAATAATAAAGATATCTTTAAAATTGAGTTTTTACACTACACAAAAATTAAAATCGAAGAGCCACGCTTAAACCATCAAACAATTCAATGTCTTCGCTGTCAAGGTTTTGGTCATACCAAATCCTATTGTAATCACCCTCCTAAATGTGTTCGTTGCGGAGACAGCCATCTTTCATCGACCTGCCAAAAATCTTCAAGCCTCCCTGCCAAATGTGCTCTTTGTGGAGGTGATCATCCTGCAAACTACAGAGGTTGTCCAATCCATAAAGAACACCAATCCAATCAACACCTCAAAAAAAACTACCAAGGTCGTATTAACAATGTCCACCCAAATAATAATGTAAAGCCCAACACTGTAAGCACTACTTCAAATCAAATTATCCCCCTCTCTAAATCATATTCTCATGCCGTTGATAAAAATTCCAACAGCCAATTTAATCAAACTAATATTCCTTTCGCCGTTGACTCAGACCCATTGACATTAAAACTCTCCTCCTTTCTTGACGATTTTAAATCCCTAATTAACCCCTTAATTTCCCTCCTAACAACCGTCATCAATAAACTTCTTATTTCCAACAATGATAAATAGTAACACTAATAATCATCACCCAATAAAAATCCTTCTTTGGAACTCTAATGGTCTTATAAACCAAAAAACCGAATTACAAGCTTTTCTTATAAATACTCCTATAGATGTCCTATTAGTAAGCGAAGCCCACTTGACATCAAATTCCTTCTTTAAAATTCCCGGTTATATAACTTACCATTGCGACCATCCTGATGGCACAGCTCACGCGGGCTCTGCGCTACTAATTAAATCAAATATTAAACATTCAACTCTTCCTCCCTACCAAAGCAATATCATCCAAGCCACGAATATTACCTTAATTCTAAATAACATTCCTACTACCATTTCCTCAGTTTACTGTCCACCCCCAAAGAGAAACCGTCCTAACATAAAAACATCTGATTTTGAACAGTACTTTCTTTCTCTAGGTAACAATTATATTGCTGGTGGTGACTTTAATTCTAAACACCACGCTTGGGGCTCTAGAATCGTCAACACCAGAGGGCGCTCATTAATTAATTTTACAACAACAAAAAATCTAAAAATAATTGCCCCTCCCAATCCCACCTACTGGCCCACGCACATAAACAGACAACCTGACATTCTTGAATTTTTTATAACTACTCTTCCAAATCACATTTCTTACAATATAACTAATTCTTCAGACCTCTCTTCCGATCACACACCTGTCTTATTAACTTTAAATGATCTCTCTTACACAACTAAATCCTACCCTACAATTACGCCTGGTAAAACCATATGGCCAAAATTCCACAGAATTATTGAAAATCAAATTCTCCTTAACATTCCTTTAAAAACTCCTTCACACATTGACTCTGCAGTCCTATCTCTTACTTCCATTATTCAAAAAGCAGTACTCGACTCTTCCATTCCTATTAATTCTACTCAAAACTCTAGTTATCACCTACCCCCTCATATTTCTCAACTAATAATTGAAAAAAGACGAGCCCGCTCTAGATGGCAGAGGTCACACTTGCCCAGAGATAAAAGAAATTACAATATGCTTACATCTTCCTTAAAAAATATTCTGCGCAAACACAATTCAGAAAAATATCAACATTATATAAACTCACTCAACTTATCCAATAATTCATTATGGAAAGCTACTAAAAATATCCTTAAACAAAAAAATAAAATCCCTCCTCTACGCCATCCTGACCACTCCTTAGCCACATCTAATCTAGATAAGGCAAACTTATTTGCAAACGATCTAGAAATGAGATTCACTCCTCATCCTGACATGCCTGACAATGATCACGTTAGTCACGTAGAATCCACTCTTTCCCAAATTCTCCCTATGTCATTACCAACTAAACATACCTCTCCATCCGAAGTCCATTATATCATTAAGAATCTTCCCAACAACAAAGCCCCCGGCCATGATCTAATAACAAATCAAATCATTAAAAAATTACCAAAAAAAGCTATTATTCACCTCTCACACATCTTTAACTCTATCCTCCGTTTATCATACATCCCCTCTTCTTGGAAACACTCGGTCATTATTCTAATTCATAAGCCTGGGAAACCCTCGCATCTCCCTTCGTCGTATAGACCAATTAGCCTACTCCCCTCCTTCTCTAAAATCCTAGAAAAAATCATAATCAAAAGAATCTATCCAATTATAACCGAAAAAAAAATTATTCCAGATACCCAATTTGGTTTTAGAAATAATCATTCAGCCCTTCACCAAGTACACAGAATTGTAGACAACATTGCCTCTTCTCTAGAAAAAAAACATTTTTGTTCAGCCGTATTCCTTGACGTAGCACAGGCGTTTGATCGCGTATGGCACAAAGGCCTGCTCTACAAAATTCGTTTCCTTCCCACTCCTCTATATCTTACCTTAAAATCTTTCCTCTCACACCGTACTTTCCAAGTGCGATGCGATGATGAGCTTTCAAATACTTTTCCTATAAAAGCTGGTGTTCCACGAGGTAGCATTCTCGCGCCTACCCTTTATAATCTATTTACTGCCGACATACCTCATTCAAACATCACTAACTTAGCCACTTTTGCAGATGACACCTGCATAACTTCTTCCGACCCAGATATTAATTCAGCCATTAATAAACTGCAAATGCATCTTAACGAGCTAGAAACCTGGTTTAATCAGTGGAAAATTAAAGTAAATGAAAATAAATCATCACATATTACATTCACTTTAGGACTCAAAGTTAGTCCTCCATTAACTCTTAACAATAATATAATCCCAATAGAAAACTCTGTTAAATACTTAGGCATTCATCTTGACAAGCGATTAACTTGGGCTACTCACATCAAAACTAAAAAACTATCTCTTAAATTAAAACTCCATAGCTTAAGACATCTTCTCCGTTCAAACATTTCTCTTAATAATAAAATCCTCCTATACAAACAACTTATTCGTCCTGCAATGACCTACGGCATCCAAATTTGGGGATCGACAAAAACCTCAAATCTAAATTTATTTCAATCATTTCAATCAATTAACCTCCGTCTCCTAACTAACTCGCCTTGGTATGTAAGTAATCGTACACTCCATCACGACCTCAGTATTCCTACGATTCCTGTTCTTGCATCCACTCATTATAAAAAATTCCACTCTACCACTATAAATCACCCGAATCCACTGATATCCAATATTTCTTCTCTTACTCTTCCAAACAATCCTCCTCGTCGATTAAAACGAAATTGGTCTCGCGACCTTCTCAATAACTAAAAAAAAAAATAATCAACAAATTTTTTAAGGAATTCAAAACAGTTATAATTATGTAATTAAATCTAGTTGAAGTAGTGTTACTGGACACCCTCTTCTTTCACGTTGTCCTGTCATTGTATCATATTTTTTTTTCAAATTTACTTATTGTAACTAATATTACTGATTGTAAATATATTTTTATAAAAAAAAAAAAAAAAAAAAAAAAAAAAAAGGGTTTCTTTTAACATGGGTATGTTTTTGAGCTGAGGGTCATTGTGTAATGGACATAATGACCGTCATCGATGTAAAGATGGAGATTATTTAATAAATTTGCGTACCAGGATTCTAGAACACACTCGCGTTTATACCGCTGCCACCATATTGATTTTTTTTGACATTATTATATTATTCGATAGTGTATGGTTAAAATAAAAATATAAACAAGTTGACAACATGAACAGCTATTTTATTTGCCGGCCTAACAATTATCAACACCTATCTTCGGCGATTCCGCAATTGCCGTAGTGACGGCCAAACGAGATCATGTACATTAATAACAATAGGACGTAGAACTTGTGAGATATTGTGTGGTGTTATTCAGTTAACGGCGGCGATTGAAAATAAATGGGTCTGTATTTGTCGACGTTCGGTGGCCGGCATACGACCACCGGCGGTACTACCGTTGTGGAGTTAGATCAAGAAGAAGAAGAAGCGGGCGAAGACGAGGTCGAAGGCCATTGTTCTTTTTGTTGTTGTTGTTGTTGCCGTTTGTCCACCATGCCGGAAACGTCGGAACCCGGTTCTTGGTCAAACGGCAATTCCGCGTCTGAAGGTCCAGTCAAGTATTGTCGTCGGGACATGGGACGTGCCAGCGTCAAAAGACCTCTGAGGGACGATCATTTGGATCAGCCGCCTATGAAAAAATCCAAGTAAACACAAAATTTTTGATACATCTTGATACGCCTTGCGGTTACTCCGCCATTTGGATATGGTGACACTGGTTCGCCAAGCAGCGGCAAGAGAAGGGCGGAGACTTGGGCGGGTGGCTTGGTATATAACCTACGGCCGCGGAAGAGAAGCGCTCAGTCTTCGGGAGAACGCGGTGCGAGCAACATCGAACCAGAGCCCTGAACGTTGGAACATGCAAGTGTTTCGTTGGCGAACCAGTCGAGATATCCAAATGGGAGTGACCGCGAGGCGTGGAAATAGTGTAAATATAATACCCCATTCAAGTTTTAGTTGAATTATTTTTTTTTAGAAACCCCACCGGAGATCATGTTCCAAACTCGGACGATGACATACCACCGGTTGTTGTTCGCGACCAAGTCGATCCAGAAAGCCCGCCCAACATCATCCCGTCGGACTCAAAGCCTTAGGTCGTCGTCATTTTCCAAAATTAGACGATCACAATACACCGTTTGTGCGGATAATGCCGATTCGGGCACGAATATTTACCAATTTATACTAAATTATTAAAATTACTATTTCAATAACGGTAATAAAAAATTTAAACATCGTCCGCCTCTTTTTTTCCCGCCTCGATTCCCCGAAGCCTCGGCACCGTTTAATAGTTTTAAACATTTTTCGTTGCCAACCCAAAATAAACACTTGGTTTGTGACAACGGTAACCACGGTAGGTGAATGGTAATTTTATGTTGTGGCCAAAAGTTGTTTGGTAGTTTATTTAATAATTGGTCTTAATCGATTTATTGGCAATAAATTCATTTGAAAACAACATATCATTTGAAAAATGTAACATCCCCATTACCAACCCCATCCCTATCTCCATTCCACTCCCATTACCACCCCACCACCCATCCCCACCCTCATTACCATCCCACCTCCTATCATCATCCCCATTTCCACCCCCCCCCATATGGACAAACACATTGTGACTGTGTTCTACCGTCGCCCCTTTTTTTAATATTTGCAGTTTTGATGGCGAAAAAATTGTATTTTATCCTATAGAAATGACTGATAGATAGTCTGACAAAAAAATTGGCCATTAACAAAATATCCTCATTACTGTATATTAATAAGTATACATTATAGTTGAAACTGTAAATTAAGATTTTTCGAAAAATTGCCTATACTTTACTCCTTAGAAATGGCCGGTGTGGCGTCCTCTTAATTGTGTGTTGCTATCCTGTGCATTTTTTTATTTTGCAGGGTTCTGCGTAATGTGACTCATATTAAATTTAAAAAAATCTAAGTTAAATATTTAGTAGAAACTAAACTAATTAGTTTGAAGTTTAGCATGATAATAATTCATAGTGACAGTTTCCAATAATGAATAACTACATTAATACAAAATATATAATTTAAAATTATATAAAATCTTTAATTTATCGTTAATTGGCACTAACTATATATTATTCTGTATTGCTATGGAAATACTGTATTAGTAGCCACTGATCATATTAAAATAATTAATAAAATAATTATATCTATGCGCTAACAATAGGTTAAATCGGTAAAAAAAAACCTAGTTTTTAAAACCTAGGTATAATAATAATAATTAATTTAATGGATTTTAAATGAAAATAACACAAAACTTTTATATTGTACTACTAGAATATGGTTTTTCAAGTAGACACATACATAAAGTGGAAAATAATCGAAATATACTTGCCATTTTCCCTCTTTATCAATGCAATATTAAATAAATCATTAATTATAATATATTATATTATATATTATAGTCAGTTTGTCGCAGTACAATATTTAAAAAAAACATAAATACCTATTATACGTTTTGTATTTGTGAAAAAATTTGAAATTGGCGCGCTAAGATGTCTAGAAATGATATTATTTGGTAGTTGAAAACAAATCCAACCAACAGAGAGCGCCACAAAGCAGTCTGTTTACCATGAACCGTACAACAGCTGCAAATTGGCGGGAAACCGCCGCAAAAGTTAACCTAACAAAACACTTTTGTTTGGAATTTCGATTTTGTAATCTTCTAAACGTGTGTAAACGGACAACGAATTTTATGATATTTTTGCAAATTTAAAATTTTGTCTTCGAGTCGTTTCGTTTGAAATTGTCGGAATATTAAAAGTAGGTGGGTTCGAATTTAATCGCCGACGAGGTAAGTCTGATTAATAATAATGGTGCGTTTGAATGGTTTTTTTGAAAACCAAAGTGTACTTACTTTTTGTGGAAACTAAAAAAATTGCACACCGCAAACGTCTACGGAATTCTGTTCTGTTAACAGCGTTTGGTTGATGTATTTTTTGTAATTTTTATTTTGATAATTTTCAGACGACGTAACGTTCGCCGCTCGACTTTGCTAATGCTGTAATAGCTGGCACGTTTGTGTTTTTACCCAAAGTACCTAAATTGTATTTCGATAAAAATTCATAAAAATATTCCATCGACGGCAAGGCAAGATGGATCGTTCGGAACTAGTGTCCGAATTCGAAGACATGGGATTGTCCATACCCGATTCGACCATTGACGATTGTGAGTATTATTTAGAAACATTATATCCGTTTTTTTTACCGTACCGGCTATTCAATCTATGTACTGGATTGGTATACAAATATTAATGAGACCAAAGTAGTCTGGCAAAAACCGTCGGTGTTTTATGTTAACCCTATTTTCTAATCCGTTATCGTTTTACCAATACCATACCGTGTACATTTGACCACCCTTTACCACTGGCTCCAAACATGCAGGCACACACGAGCCAATTAACCACTAACAGGACGAAAAGCCAATTAGTCGAGACCTTAATGTCTCCGGATCGCAATCGACTAATAAACATAACAATATAATATTTATCCTCTGTTGCCACACCTTATATACTTTTATTTTCATTGATCGCTGTTTCATACATTTCATATTTAAATTTGGAATAGGAAAATAGACTGCTTTGGTTCTGAATTTTTGATTTCGTTACCAAAAATTTAGTCTACGGCTCTAGTGACTTTTTTGTTGGTTTTTAAAATGAACTATTTCTTATAAGTGCGCTTAGTTTTGTCTGGTTTCACATTTATTCCATAAATATTCCTAATAATATTTGTATGTCTATTGATATACTATATTCTCAATTTTTGACAGTTGTTTTAAAAACTGATTTAGTTGTATTAATTGTAATTATTTTTATTTAAGTATTTAGTTAAATATCTAGACGGTATATTTTAGTTTTAAATCACACTATCGTCTTAAACATATAGATACACATGAGAAAAAAAATACTATCGTAAGTTATTAATTGTTATACAAATCAAGCAACTTTTACATGTAAAACGTAGCCGTAGACTCATCGGCTCTTAGACGTCACACAGTAATTTATCAAACATTGATATCTCTGAATAATAATATTTTTGACATAAGATTTCCCCTTAAGCATTTGTTCTCGTTGTTTTGATTATAATAAATAAATCATTTAACTTAAATTAAAAAATGAAGCTTTGTAACCTCATTAATTAATGTAATTATAAAAATGTACGTGGTTTCCAAAATTTGACTTGTCTTTTTTAACATGAGCTTTAAAATATTACAACGGTTCCAAATTATTTTGAAATTTTGCATAACTTATGTAAACGTCACAATTAAATATTTCATTGAGATCTACAAACACAAGATAGTGTATTTTGTTCAGGCATTGCTAAACTCTGTATGTACTTCACACATCAAATTGGAGTATATGTTTTATAAACAAAAAGGATTCCTTCATGAAACATAATATTTTGTGCTTCCTTATTAGTATGAACTGGAAGTTTAGTAAAGGTATCGTTGGAGTCTTGTAGATCATTCGCTTTATCCTGTGTGTATGATTGTTAAAAATATATAAACAACTAGTTTTTCTAACTAAGTTTTAAAAAAATAAAATACTGCATCAATAATTAATGTTCAAAAATTAAAATTAATTCGCTTAAATAAAAAATCGAATTTGGTTTGTTAATTAAGTTTTTTGAAAATTGTAAATTATTCGAAATTCATTTTCATTTACCGTTTCAAACATAAATTATTTAAAATATATCTTTTCAAGTACAAATTTATCAATTTTTTAAATTTTAAATTTGGTATTTAGGTAATACATTTTTTATTTAAAATTATTTTTTTCCAATTAACCCATTATAAGAGCAAAAGAAGATATTTTGGTAGGAATATCATTCGGCCCAAATGACCATTCATTATTTGGCTTAATATATAATTTGGAGAAAAGTCATTTTTTGATACTAAAAAAAAATAATAACTTTTCCATTGAATAAATGTTTTAAAACTGATGACAAATTTCATTATAAAAAGTCATAGTCTTCCAATTTTATTGCGGAATGTTTCTACTCTAATCAATCACGGATCGAGTAAAGTAGTAAAGCATTCTACGTACAACTGAAATTGTTCTAAGAACTGTTTTTATTCGATTAGACTTGATCAATTTTCTAAGCTTGATCTTAGGTCTTAGGTGTGTTACATATAATTGCATTTAAGATTTATTAAATTAATTATTTATTAATTTTGATTTGGTCTTTAAATTTTTTTCAGGCATAATAGTATGTATCACACACAAAATAACGCCGTCGGATTTTGTCGGTTCCTGGGTGGCTTATTGCGCAACGGCTCAAATAGATGCCAACGTTTTGGACAAAGACAAGCTCAATTCTTTGATCAAAACATTTAAGATAGAAGATGAATATAAGATAACAGAAAAGTAAGTCTTTTTTATATTTTTTTGATTGTATTTTTCTAATTATCGTAACTACATTTGGCTTTTGTTAATTAAACAGTAAAGACAGCTGGTTATAAAATGTAAATAAAAAAATGTTGAAGTTATAATATAACTGTACAACATTAGTACATTTGTATCGATAGGCTTTGTGTAAATTTTATAACCTTGAACGGCAACATTAAGTTCTTCGATAGCATAAAAATGTTATTGTGGTTTTGAACTAGTATTTATCGTATTATATTTATTAATTTTAACCACTTTTCAGCTTCCTACCTAAAACATATTTTTGCTAGGACGTTCCAAGAGTGGAAAAGTAGTATCCAAATTATCGTAACTACTTTCTCGGCTTTTGTCGATCGAGTACTGCAAATTTGGAAACATAATTATTAAGAAATGTCACAATTATTATCACTAGGAGTCTATTTGAATAAAAATACCCGATTTAATAAATGATAAAACAAATATGATTTGTAATTTTCGTTTAACATAGGAAATACTCTGGAAGAAATTCCATTGATATAAAACCGGACTTGAAGGAACTGCAGTCTTCGCTCAACAGTTCGGCGTCAACAAAAGTAAGTGCGATTTTCAATATTTCAGTAGGCTAGAATTCAAAACCAGCAAGATCCAAAAATCACATTATTCAGTAAACCCCCCCCCCCCAAAACTGGGAGGTATGTTCCTAAACAACAAAAAAAATCTATACTTAACTGTTTGTAATTAGTTAAGAGTGTTGCCAACTCATTTTCTCAATTTTTTTTTTTTAGTCAACCTACTCGTTTCTAAATTAGAATAAGCGTTTTTGGCTAATTAATATTACAGTTGTTATTTTTCTTTTTTTGTGTTACGCTTACACTTTTAATGAAAATTGTCGGAGTTAATCGTTAATCGCATTCCTGATGGCGTGTTTTTGTAATTAATTTCTCTAATGAGATCATTCCTATTGCCTATTATTTTTATGTGACTTTACCGTAGTAATAATAATCTATAACCGCTTTACTGATAAGGACAATGCAGTTTACGTTGAATTTGTTATTTGTGAAGTATTTATCGTAATAGTCTTTGTCGTTATGACTGTTGCTGTAGTCTTAATGCTTTGTTATTGGAAAACAACATTTTACTATTATTCCAAATGAAAATAGTCGGCACAGCTATGTTTTGCTAAAATATTTTACTTATTAACAACTCTGTTATGAAAAAAAATGTGTACATAATTTTTACCGAAAATTGATTTTATTAACATTTTCAAAGTCAAGACCATTCAGTTTTAAAATAAAATACTTTATTTTATTATTTGTATATATTTATATACCTATTTAAACTGTACGTTAAATATTAAGTGCTTGTATGGATAGTGTTAGATTTGTTTTGGTTGTTTCAACAAAATATTTAAAAAAGAAAAAAAAATTACAATTGCACAAAAAAAACGTACACTTACTTTCGTTTAATTTAAATTTAATTAATTCCAAAGAAATGTATTCGAAACTGATAATAAACCAGTCATAATTGTCCAAAAAAAAAAATACTTTTAAAAACTCCAAACAGCATATTTAACAAAATATTTATTACATTAAAGTAAAACAAATATGTATATATTTATTAAACATTTCCCTTCTTCTCACTTTATTTCATTATATTAATTAACAGATAATTGTATTATTCGATTTAAGATAATTTAAAATATTGTATGGAACTGAAAAAGTTTAAAAGTGAAGGAATGAACTTTTTAAACTTTTTACCATTTTTATAGTCTATTTCGCTCTCTATAAATAATATTTTTTATACACTTCTCTTAGCCTTCTCGACTTACAATTAACAAGTCAAAATTTCCCATTTATCACGCTTAACTTTGAAATTTCATTTTCAAAAAGGGTAGTTGTTTGTTTGATTTTTATTGACGTTTTATATTTTTAACATCTGAAAATTATTGGCGTCCAGCCTTTTTTTTTTTTTTAATTAAATGGCCTTTGACCATTCCAACAGACATAGTGATCTGTTTCCATCTTGGTGGTTTTTTTTTTATACTCAATGATTTGTTTTAATTGTTTTATTATTTCAATAAAATACATTCCAAACAATCTAAATTCGAATCCGGTCAGAAAATGTATGTAGTTTTTATTACAACCAAAAGAAAATTGGGTAATATTCTAATTGTTGTTTTGTAAACTGCTTGCAGCTCTGAAAGCAAAAACTAATGACATGTTTTTTATAGTTGAAGGCCATGTATTTCGGTTTTTTTTTTTAATATTTATTAAATTTCATTATAAATATGTTATTGTATCGAGAACTCATGATTTGGTTTACAAATTTTAAACAGGCCTCTTTACAAATCATTTTTTTTCTTTGTATGCCATTTTTTTAATAGTTTTTGATTCTTTGATGACATTTTTTTATGCGCAGTCGCCTATTTTATTACCTTTTATCGCGTAATTATTTACACCATTTTAAAACTTATAAATGCCCACTTGTAAAAAATCAAATAGAATGCATATATTTTTAATCCTATTATCAGTTAGATACACCACGAGGGTTGGGGGTAGTTCTTCCAAAAAATGATAACGTGTGATAAGAAAAAAATGTTACATAACCTATAAAATGTGTAATACTACAGATAGTACCAACATCGATTTTACCAAAAACCCGCCAAGAGAAATTTCGTATTTTAATATCAAAAACATTGCCTTTAGTTAGGTTCTTATCTTTATTGCAAATTGTAGTTAGATCTTTATCAATTATCTAATTTAAATCGTATACACTATACACGTAAAATCCATAATAAATTACATTATATTATAGTATATACCTATCATATAAGTACATGTTATAATTTAATATTATTTGGTATAAAATAATAATAATTTTATTAAAATTTCCCTCAAATTGTTTATATTACTATTTAAATAAAACATTATTTTTACTTTTTACCTAAATTAGTTGACGATTTCAGAATTTGGCTGTCAAGTATAAATTAGTTTTACCACATCTTACATATGTATTCTGTAGTTAAAGAATACAGGTAGGAGCTTATAAGCTTTGTCTTCAATCTTGTCTCTTAGAAGATATATTATTAACAAAATTTGGTACCTAAAGGATATATTAGAGCAAGATAACGGAACATATGACACTTGTAGTTTAAATACCTTACATGAATAACTAGAACAAAACACATATTTAATTTTCAAGTTTCCACATAAATCAATATATACATTATAAGGTTATAGTCCAAAGTGAACCTTTTGCCAGATAAAGACTCGTGAAGAGAAAAAAATTGTACGGCCCCTTTTGCATGGGATAATAGGTAGATAATACGAATATGGCATAATATAAAATTACTGTAAACTAGATTTAACAATTCTGTTGTATTAATAAAAATTATCAAACTAGGGTCGTAATCGTATAAACGTCATACTCAATAAATATATAATGTAATTTAATAAAAACTTGCTTTTATGTTGGTAAGATTATCAAATCAGACTGATCGGTATTAAAATACCTTGCAAGACTGAATGTTATTTATAATCAATTAGTAGGTTTTTAAAAAAATTATTATTAATCACTTAATATTTTACAGAAATTAGATTATATTAAGCTACTCTGGGTATATATTTTTATTATATAAACCATACTAAACAATATGAATTTGTTCTGAAATAGTTATTCATATGATTTAAAAATATGATACAATTTTTGGTCAATATAAATTTGCAAATTTACAATTATCTCTTGATTTGAAAATGTCCTTGTTTGTTAGAAGATTGCATAGCCCATATTTTATTAATCTATGTACTTATTCATTTAATATGGCCATTTACTTAGCGATAACCAAGTCATTAGATTTGTTTCTTATAGAAGTGATATTATAACTTTTCTGTTATTAATTCTGTCTACATTCCATTTATTAAGAAATGTATACTTTACTTATATTATAAAAAAAATAGAAATAATACATATTATAAAATAAATAGATACAATTGCAAGTTGCAGCATCTCATCATATTTATTTATCTCTTATCTCGTTCTCATCGAGATCTGCTGTTAAAGCTCTTTTTGCCCACAAAAAGTTTAATAAGTTATAATAAGACTGATTTAAGTATGTTAATATTTACTTAAGACTGGTGAAGTTGTGAAAATTTAAATGATATAAACGTAGCTATGGACATATTTAATGTGAAACTAATGAGGCTATTTCCAATTCCACTAATATGTATATAATAAAATTGTCAAATCAGAAATTAAAAGATTGAATATCAAGCGGTCAGGTTAACTCTATTTTAACTAAGTGAACATTTAAAAACAGATTAGATAATCCCATTTTTATTTAACATTAGTTAAAAATGGTATAATTGTGTTAGGAATATCTTATACCCCCATAATTTTGGTTAGAAATACTAGATTAAACTAGTAGAAGATAATTCTAACTTTATACTGTTAAACAGTTGTACTTTACTAAATTGTAGTTAACAATGAAAAGTATAAAAGTTGTAGGTATTTAATTTATCATTATTTTCAGGTAAGTGCCCCAATAGTTTTAACAAATGTGTCTTCATTCCTTTACACAAAACAGGAAATAAATAATTGTTCAGTAGTTATTATCTATTATTTCAGTCGGTAATTATAATTACTAGGGCTCTAGTTATAATTACTAGACTGTAGCCATTATAAACCAATATCGTTATCACTGTCTCTATCAAAAATATTTGAAAAATCATTAAATCCCAAATAATGAAGTAATATAATATTTAGTTATTAAAACATATTTACATGGTTTTACGAGTTTTTATAGTTGAATTTAAATAAAACTAAACATATGGTTTTCAATATTCAAAACTATTTTAATCTGGATAACTTAAAGTTTAGAGGTCAAACTGTGTAGAGCTACAAAATTGTGTTTCATGAATTATGATTCATATAAGATGTAACTGCGTTACTATTAAAAAGAAAATAGTTGTATACTTTGATTCATTGATAACTGACTAAAATGAAAATATCAAAAATATTGAATATGTTATAAAACTATTCAATTATTATCAAGACATTATTTATATATATCTATAGTTTTTAGATAATAGCAGGTATTGTTAAGGGTTAAACTTACTAAAGCTAATTTATTATTTAAATGTTGAATCTATAATTATTTACTACATTATACTATGCATATAAATAAAGATAACGGTATCTGGACTTTATAATACAATTTATATCGAACACATCATTGTATACTCAAAGAGAGTATTCAATATGTTAAACATCCTTCGTTTAATCGCATTATATAATATCCCTTGTATTACAATACACAGATACAAATCAGTCGTTATCGAGAGTAAACGTGTCTATGAGAACAGATTTAGAAAAAATACATTTGGTTTACTTTTACTTTATTGTGTCAAAAACTACATCTAAAAACTAATGCATTTCTAAATAATAAAATTATAAACAAATATATACTATATACTAAATACGCTTTGAATTTTTATCATAATTAAATATTATTTAATTAAAAATTATCAAAAAAGTAAGTGGTTATTAAAACATGTTTTCAGTTGTAAAATAACACAAACAAAAATGTTTTGAAAAATAATTTTACCTAATTGAAATTATTATGAGAGAAAATTAGTCAATCACACTATATAATTAAGCTAACCAAGAAAAAACAACTTTTATTTCTAAAAAACAATATAGACTTCCTGTCTATCAGGCTACCTAAAGTAACACAGTATACATTTCAGACCAATTTTATAATTTATAAAGTACAATTCATTAAGTTTGATAAGTCATTTAAATAAATAATAAATAGTAATAATAGAAATAATAAATGTAATAGTTTAAAACACATAAAATAATCTGGTAAAAAGTATAAATAGTATAAAATGATACTTAAGTAAAGATATTTTTTAACTAAAAATGTATATATTATAAACTAAACATCAAAATTTACAAATGTATAATTACTTGGTTTAGCAAAAAAAAATTGTACCGTTTTTTTTTTTTAATCTAGGTATTCAAAATTTTGACTACACAATTTTTCCTAACAACATCAACATAATTTCACAACAGTTTACAAATTTTCAATCTTTTAGTTAGGTCAAGATATTTTTACAATAAATTAATATTTTAATGTTATTAAGGTAAGTAAATATAAGCAAATACAGAAGCTACATTTATAATTTATTTGGTAGGCTAATAATTATGTTTGTCAAAATTGTAATAATAATATACTGTTAGTATCGTTAAACTAAAGATACTTGTATTGACACTTAAAGTGTAAAAATATTCAAACAATAATACAAGTATTCAAAAAAAAAAAAATTTAAACAATCTTAATTTTGTTTTAATGTAGTTGAAAATTAAAAATATTTAGCCAAATGAGATATCAGTGTAGTGGTCATAAATACAGTACAGTTTATATGGACGTTGAAGACAGGATAATAAGTTATTCAATAAGTAAACAACTGAATTACAGTTGATTAATAATAAATTATAATGAGACTTTTTTAAATAAAATTAAACAAAATATAAAGAGATTGGAGATGATACTACGATGTCTAACAGCAGGTAAACAGAAATACTGGGTGGTTTTTATAATGTTAGTCTGATACAGAATATTCTTCCAGGGGTTTTGCACAAAATCCAATTAACTTCAACAACAAATATTCAAATATAGTGTCAAAAATCCGTCTATGGATTACAGTGTCCATGGAGAAATATATGATATGTCCATTTAATCTTCCTCTGGTCACATTCTAGCTGAAAAAACAACAAATGGTTAAATAATATTAATAATAATTATAATATAAAACCAATTTTAAATGAATTACTAATGTTAAGGTTTGTTAATTGTGAAGTTAAAATTAAATATAACGAAAATTGATAATGACATTTTTTTATACCATTTAACTTCCAACTTTTTATACCATTCAATTTAAATTATCTATCAATAACACTTGGAAGAGTGATTTCATGAATAGACTATATTTGTGACCGGTATATATCATGTGGACCTAGTTTGTTATCTCATACCAATGAAGCGTAAGATCTACAAGTAAATGCAATTTTTCTTGTACAAAAACTAACAATGTTAGAAAATAGTAAATTAAATTATTAAAAAGAAAGATAATTTACATTTGATTTCTTTTTTTTTAAATACCCTATATTAGGGTGTTTTAGATTGATATTAAACTAATTTTGTATCAATATTTGTATTAATACTACAAATCTAGAATGTTTTCCATACCTAATCTATTTAGACAAATGATAAAACAATTATTTCTTCCAGTTGGTGTCGATGGAGAACTGTTCAACCAGAATCTTTGACTCATCTTAAAACTGAAAGATATATTTTTAATAAATAAGTTAAAAGTTGAAATGTTAATTATTAAAATAATAGAGATTAAATCAATTAAAACAATTTTACAAAAAATAACTCCATACCTGTTACCACACTTAATCAGACTAGAGATAGTTTCAGGAATCGAACCGCTCTGATGAATAAGCATACCGATAAGCTTTTTATGACTTCAGACAACTACCATCATACTGTAAAACATAATTTACTTGTATTAATAGTTTTATTTAAATAGGATGTAATAATATTGTCACACAAATTAGTACAATATAGTGTATGTCTGAACTTTGTCGCTAGGTACTATAATTGATAAATATATTATGTTATTCATATTAAATATTGCAAGTTTATATTATGTGAAAATAAGAGTTTTGAATTATGAATTAAAAAAGAATTCTAATAAAAATATTCATTTAATATTAATAAGAAACGAAAGTAAATTTTATTTACCAATAATTATCGTTGTCGTCATATGAACTAGTTGGTTTTTTGTCATTATAAATGTATCGTAAAAATGTGTACTATTTAAGAAAATATAATATATTTTAACACGGTTATTTTTTTTATCATTTGAATTATTGCCGTTTAGTTCTAGAGATAACAGTTAACTCTGACAAACTTTAGTTATATTTTAGTTACTTTTATTCTGATAGAATTGGCAGACTGATAGAATGTGATTTTATATTTTGGTGTTTCTGGGTTGGTCACGCTGATAAAATAAAAATTGTGTTATCTTTTGGAAGAACTCTTATCTCTTATCATTTTTTGGAAGAACTGCCCTGAACCCACACCACGATGCGATGGTTATGCGAGTACACTGTAATATTTTATTCCAAGGAATAATCAAATAACCAGACAAACAGACTGTTTCATATTTAATTGGCCAATGAATGATTCGTTTTGCTAAAAGGTAACTAAGATACAAACACAAGTGTATTTGTTTGTCACGATTATTATTATTATTGTTGTTGAACAAATAAAAACAGTTAATTAAATCTATCTTAAACATGTTCAAGAACATTTTGTCGTCAATGTTAAGAACAAACAGATTGACAAAACGGTTTCAGCCACGTGTCAATTATAGCAAAAATGTCGAACCTATTGAAAACTACGATAGTAAATACAAAATTTAAACAATTACTTATTATTTTAACACATCAACAATTGTTCGTGTTAATGTTGACCACAAGTTTAAACATCTCGACTTTATTGTAACTTCAGTTGCAATTAGAGTTACCGCCAAATTACAATACATAATAAATTTTCAATTTTTGTAGCTTTTCTTTTTGGGAAACTTTTTTTAGTTATTATTATTGCACGTTATAAAAAAATATTATAATTATTTAGCCTTTTTAGTAAATATTTTAAGGTTCTATCGACTGTGGAAACTTAAATAGTAGAAGCATAAATATATATATATAATATATATATATATATATATATATTGTATTTATTTAGTAAATTTATTTGTATACCTTTTAAAAAAAAAACTTGACTCTGTTTATGTAGTTTTTTACTTATTTATTTTAATGGTAATCTAATCTAAATCAAATTAATGTTATTAAAGTCCAGCACCGGACACGATAATAAGAATATATGGTAAATTAGAAATGATAATGAACATTAAATGATAATAATTTTGATATTCAATAAGTTAATTAAATATATTACTTTATGTTTCAAAAGTCGAAAGAGCTAAAATTTAAATATAACATATATTTTTTTCAAAAAGAAAGACTACAAAATAAATAGCTATAATTTTTATGAGGTTGCACGTCTTACGTTAAATGGATCACCCTGTATGTTTTTATTTAACCGATAAGGTTCTAATAATCATATTGTGTTTTAGAAACGTCAGCTTATTGACTTTAAAATTTGTCGTTTGCCATATATTATGGGGGACAAAAAAAAAGGCATTTTTCAATTTTTAAACAGAATTTTACCGTCTGCGAAGCAATTTTTTTTTTGTCTGTGATTTCTTCTAAACCGCTGAACCGATTTCTTTATGTAGCAACTATCCGGATCAGAAATATGATACTTGAAAGGTTTTTAAAAAAAAAAAAAACGGCGATATAATACTAGGTGGGAGGCCATCCAGTGATAGAGCCCACAGAGGACTTAAGGTTTGAAAATTAGAAATTGTTGGGTAGATCTAGAGTGGGGCCAAAACATATACCGTTTTCTGTATTCAAGTTTTTTTTTATTAATGATAAACATAAGAGAGAAACTTCATTTTTACCGTTGTAAGTACATTTCTAGGAGGTTATGAGTCATTAAATAAACAGTCCCCGGGTATTTGAAAATATTTTCATTATGTTGCTAATTACCTACCAAAGTACAATCTTAATCAAAATATAGATAACTTTGGCAATGTTTCAATCGATTTAGTATATATTTCTACTATCTAGAAAAAGTTTTCTCAATTTCGCTTATTACAATTCCTACGACCTCCCCCGTCTCAAGTAGCTACATCTCCACTATGCGCCGACCCCACTGTATTGGCTTTCGCATTGTTGACATGGATATGTCTTATGGCATCACGCTTAGGTTAGATTTGCAGTAATTGGGTAAGGTTAGACTTAGAGTAGGCCTGACAACCTGAATTTGCGACGTCAACAGAAGATTGGGAGGGGAGGCAAATGAAAATCTAGGCAATAAGTAAAGTGGATAGGGGAGGAGATCGAGAAGAGATTGAATAAGAATGAGTTAGAGTGTAATGAAATAAGGAGAAGGTTAGGGAAGAAATGAACACATACTTGCAACGATTGGGGACACGCGAAAGTAATGCGTTTAGGTTTCTGCCCAGTACCGTTCTCTCGTGAGACAAAGTATATGCATACATAGTAGGGTGGACCAAAAACAATTTTTTTTTTGTTCTTCTCTTGGCATTATGTTCCTTGGGGTAAAATAATATTTCCCTATTTTTTTTAGATTTTTAAAATTATTTTTAAAGGTTTGCGAGTATCAGTTTACCAAAACAATTTTTTTTAGTTTTTAATTTTTTTAAGGTATAAATATCAATTTTAAACAAGTGTTGCATGTATACAAAATCACCATTATAAAAAGAGGAATAAACCGATATTTTTTAGGCCTTGGAATGTAAAATTTGCGAAAATATTGGTATACATATACCCTTAATAGTAGAGCCTAAAATATTTTTTTTAGGGGTATAAAATATTTTTAACTTATTCCTCATTTAGCTGCGAAGAATTCCAATATACTTACATAACACATTATTCTAACAATAGATCAGAAAAAAAATTAATTGAAAAACAAGTATTTTATAAAATAATATTGTTTTTTGTTAATTACTTGTTAAAACTAAAAAAAAAATATAATTGTTAAGTAACAGTACTCAAAACTGGTTTTTTGTTTATTTTTTTAATTAATTTTTTTTCTGATCTATTAGAATAATGTGTTATGTAAGTATATTGGAATTCTTCGCAGCTAAATGTGGAATAAGTTAAACATATTTTATATTCCTAAAAAAAATATTTTAGGCTCTACTATTAAGGGTATATATTAAGTATCAATATTTTCGCAAATTTCACATTCCAAGACCTAAATTAGTCGGATAGTAGTTTTTTTTGGAAACAAAAAAAATATTGGTTTATTCCTTTTTTTCTAATGATAATTTTTTGTATACATGCAACTTTTGTTTTTAATTTTTTTTTATACCTTATAAAAATTAAAAAACAAAAAATATTTTTTTCGGAAAACTGATGCTCGCAACCTCTAAAATTAATTTTAAAAATCTGAAAAAAAAATAAGGAAATATTATTTTACCCGAGTAACATAATGTCATAAGAAGAACAAAAAAAAAACAAAAGTAAATTTTTTTTTTTTGGTCCACCCTAATATATAGTTTTGGGTGTGCCTCAAGACATATATTCATGATGCAATGTTTTTCCTCGAGTAGAGGACTAATCGTGTTACAGACCAAACTAGATCCGCCACACTTGTAAAACGGTTAACTCTAAAAAAATCGGTTTTGATATATATTTTTGTTCCGAAGAAAGTATAAGGTTGTGGAAAATCTTGACGTGGTACGGTGCTATGCCCATAACGATCGGATGGTCTTTGTACGTTTTCAGTTTCCACGAAGAACCGGAAAGACCGAAATTCATTCCGTATCGTTATCTCCGCATCAGGACCAGAGTGAGTGGAATCGGAATAATTATTAGTTTATTGCCAGAAAAAACCGAATCGTGTACCTCCTCCTAATCGTTGAAAAAATAATACCTAATAAAATATAGCGGTTTCCGTGGGGTGACGGCAATCATCCGTTTTTCTACAACCCCAGGATCAACCCTTTGCCCGAAGGGTACGAAGACGAGATTGGTGGTTCGGAAGGAAACGAAAATGCCGGAAATAACGATGGAACGGACGAAGATGAATGTTTTGACGACTAAACTATATTTTAGACGAGACAAAATATACATTTATTGTATTATGTGAATCGTTTATTGATCCTATATTATCTTATTAGTTTGTTTTTTTTATCCAATTGTCTGTACCATTTTAATAATAGTCTGTTATTAAAACATTTTTTTTTTCCATTTTCAGAGCCGAAAAATATATATAGGTTTATCGGAACAAAGGCCCAATTTCAAATTTTACTTAAAAAATTTCCTAGGCTAAATTATTATTTCATAAATTAAATCAACCTAATAGTAATAAATTAGGAAAAATTATAAAGTTTTCATAAAAAAAAAATGTACCTAAATAAATATTTTGTTGTGTCTCTTGAAAAAAACCCAAATTTGGGTCCTTGTTCTTTTAATAAGCGTCTCAATTGTCAGTGTCTTACACGGGACTCGCGCAAGACTTGATAATTTTTTTATCTAAATCGCATTAAATTACTATAATAATAAACCTAAAATGCAAGACCTCAACTCTTTGTTACACTAATCTATATTGTATAATAGATTCTGCTTGATTCCTCAAAGGTTATGGAAGTTCTATTATTTCTGTCATTTCTATTATTTGCTAAAACTCTATTTAAAAAAGTTCCCCGTCAAATGTATGGTTTTTGGATTTTTGTAATCAATTTTATAATCAAATCTCAGCTGTAGTTAATGTATTAATGGATCTAAGGCATTTCAACATGGCGTTTAACTCAACAAACATTTTAACATCGTGTTAAGGCTAACAAATTCGGTGAAATCCGATTTTCTTGAATATAATCAACAATAAGTTGTATCCTTAACATATTATGTTGGCGAAACCGGCTATTTAAATATTTACATAGACTGTAAAGTTTTTTTTTTTTTGTAATAAGTACAAGTGACAAATGTTTACAATATAAAATAATAATTAAAACAATTAAATTACATTTATTGATTATCATTTTTTATTGAGAATGAAGTCATGAGTTAAGAAGCCATCCTTTGATGGAATTACCGTGTTGTGGGATGTTGAATGGCATCTGGAGTGTTTACTGTGGTTTTGTACATTCAGTTAGTAAACATATTCAGTCAGTAAAATGTTCTGTTTTTTTTTATTAAAATCTTAACCCGTCGTGTTTTTGTTTTAAACGACTTAAATACCTCATCTAAATTATTTTTACT